TGCGCATCAGGCCCAGTCGCAGGCCGGCGACCGAGCCGGACGGGGAGAGGTGCGGCCGCACCGGCGGCGGCGGCGGCGGCGCGGGAAGAGACGAGTCGTCGTCGAGGCCAAAGGCGTCGGCCAGCAGCACGAGGTCGTCGACGCCGCGCGTAAAGAAGCCTAGCGTGTCGTAGGTGACGGAGAAGAACTTGAGCCCTTCGCGCGAGACGCGGCCCCAGGTCGGCTTGAAGCCGTAGATGCCGTTGAAGCATGCCGGCCGGATCACGGAGCCGCCCGTCTGCGTGCCCAGCGCCACTGGTACCTGAAAGTCGCCCACCGAGGCGCCCGAGCCCGACGACGAGCCGCCGGGCGTCCGCGACGGGTCGTGCGGGTTGCGCGTCGCCGGGCCCTCCCCGGTCGCGGCGAACTCGGTCGTTGTTGTCTTGCCGAGCAGCAGCGCGCCAGCCGCGCGGAGCACCTTGATTGGCGCAGCGTCTACCTTGGGGAAATCGCCCCGGTACGCCTCCGAGTTGAATTGCGTCGGCATATCTATATCAGGGGGAGGAGGGGGGGGGTAGGATTTTGCGCGGTCAGCCCAGAGAACATTCTCTCTTTTTTCGTAGCGCGCATCACTGCACCGCCGAGATGGCAATCTTGTCGGGAATAACAGCGGCCCACCTACCTTGTGTATAGATGACATCCTTGACGCCAATGGGCATGCCGTGAAGCGGACCGCGCTGCTCGCGAGGCACGGCGTCGAGGGCACGCGCCTGCTCCAGGACACGGCTGGGATCTAGATAGGCCCACGCCTGGACCTGCGAGTCGCGCTCGGCGATGCGGTCCAGCAGCGCCTGCGCATACTGCTCGACGGTGAGATCGCCGGCGCGAATGTAGCTCAAGACTTCGGCTGCCGTCAGCAGATACGCGTGCTCGACAATGGACGGTGTCTGTGCGGCGCCCATGGCGGTAGAGTTGAAAGCTCCCCACCCAGAACACTTGAGTTGAGAAAGGAAAAAGAGCTCAAGTTCTTGTAAATGGGCTAGATGCGAACAAAGTATAACCGCGTGATGTGAGTGGGGGATGTGTGAAGCGCAACGGCAATGACCTTCTTCGATATGCAAGTTGAAATCAGGTCCCGGCAATAGAAACAATGATATAGGATAGCCCCCTGCTATAGGCGGCTCCGTTCTCGGACGCAGCTTGTGTATAGACGGAGTATACTTTGATATGAGGAAGAAGGAGAAGAGAGAAAGAAAGAGGAGAAAAGTCGCAAGTTGTGTTGCCAAGGCATAAACTAAAAAAAAAAAAAAACGGTGCTCAGAAAAAGACTGGTGTTGTTAGCTTTTATTATATTCCCAACGACGAACTTCTCCACTGCGCCTCGCGCTAGAGTTACCACACTCTCGAGCCTGATGTAATTCCCAAGGAGGGGTGACGAGCTGAATGTATGACCTGTTACTATGGTTCGTACGACCTTGACCTCCTAAAAGAGCGACGTAGAAAGATGTGCAGAGAAGAGAAGGGTGTAGACGAAGAAAGTGAGGGGAGGGGGGGGGTCCCGTGGTGTCACACGGCTGCCGCTAGCTCGTTGGACAGACCCGGGGGAGCGGGTTAGGTTGTCGTGTGTCCTATTAGAATGAAAATACTCATAGACAGATTGTCTAACGTCGGAGATATTAGTGGCAACACGGCGTCGTGAAGAATGTATCAGAGCCCGTCCAAGGTTCTCGGAGATTGTGTTGGTCAAGTGGATGGGCTAATAGCGGGTAGACCCTGGCGGGAACGGCCGATTGAGTTCCCTTGATGTGGAAGGTGGGTAAAAAATAAAAAAAGCTTTTTTCCCGTCCTCATTGAAGAGACGTGCTTTGCGTACCTTTTTTGCCGAATGTCTTGAATCCGTCCCTGATGTAACCAGCGAAACACCCGTCAGTTCAAGTCAGTCAATCGCTTTGTGTTTCTTGTCGGTCTGTTGGGCCCCTTGTCCAGTCCAGTTCCATCAGTTAACTAAAGTGATACTGCGGTCTTGAAAAACGGGGACGCCCCCAGCGTTGTATATACCAGTACCGGATAATGATACGGTTCCCGACAAGACGCGGGGATTGGCAACTTTGCAAGGGGTCGTCGTCGTAGTCGCACTGGGGGGGACTCGGCAGATCAACAGCGTTGCAAGGCGACGTCAGAAACGAATGACAGATGGTTAACATGAGGCGCAGCGCCGAGGATAAAAAAAAAAATCAGTCCAGCGGGGGGGGGAGGAGAGGAGGGCAGGCAGACAGGCAGGCAGAAGCAAAACCTGCGACCAACTTCTACCGTCTGACCGGGCCGGACCTTCATGCAGAAGCAAGGTATAAATGTCAACGCCTTGCTGTGCCCCCTCCGGTGCTTTCTGACAAGTTGTCTCAGATACGGGGGCCCCGTCGTGTCTCTCTCTTCTTCGCCTGGTTGGTGTAACTAAACAATATGTCTGCGCAAACTCTCGGCCTGGCCTGGGGTGTGGTATTGTAGCTTTTTTTTTTTTTTTCTTTTTTTTTCCTCTGCTTGTCTCTCATTCGCTGCCCACAAGACGCAGCCTGCAGCTCCCCTCCCCCTTCTCAACTTCGCTTGCACCGGCGCGACGGACCAGCACTACCAGGTATCTTGCACATCCCAGCAAGGGGTCATGGGCGGCATCGTCCAATCAGCTGGTACTAGGCGAGCTAAAATTGGCCAACCAGCAGTAAGTATGGAGTACCTTGTGTACTGTCCTCGCTGCCGGGTCCCCCAAAAGCCGGGGGGGGGAGGGGGCGGAGGTGGGCAGCACTGGTCGGTTGGGCACGCACTTGCATGATGGACAAGCTGCAAAGTCGTGACCACCCTAACTAGCCAGGGCTGCGTGGGCGAGGATGTGGTCTGCATGGACGGCGGCACATGTCGTAGACGCTCTAAGAAGGTATGTCCTGCCATGATGCACATTTTCAAAACGGTCCAAAAGGCTAGCCGAGTCATGCATCACGACACCACTAGAATACTCTGGAATGCGGATGCATATGGACACGTGGATAGGCCCTTGAGCCATATTTTTCTTTCCTCTGATGGCTGTAGAGAAAGAGGGCGAAGAAAAAAAAAAAAAAAGGCAGGCACACTTTGCGAAGCGGTTGTACCTTTACCGGGCTGCCAAAGGCCCGAGACATGAATCCTACTTTACCCTGCCATCGTAGTTATTACAAATGAATCTCTTCAAAAAAGTCAAGTTATGAATGACAAAGCTGACGCACATGAGCTGGGCCAAACGCAAAACATGCAGACCAGCGACTCAGACCCAGGAAATCGGAAACAGAGCAAAGATTGGTTTCAGACACGGGTTAGACCTTTCCACTGCGTCCTCTTGAAAATAAGGTAGCATTCTGACTCAAAAAATTGACTGAAAAGACATACTGGTATAATTTGTTCAAGAGGAACAAGGGACAATGTGTCGACTGACAGAAGCAACCATGCATGTCAAGTGCCGTGGTCAGCCAGTGGGCAGGGGGGTTATACATCATGTACTGCTATTACTGGTCGTTGAGGTGCTCATGATCCTTTCTTATATTACACTATATTAGAAACGGAAAAAAGCGCGCAAAAGCGGTGTATGCGTGTATGCATCAGCGCATTTGCAGCGTCGCTCAGGCCAGCTCCCGGGAATCCGGTTGGACCATGAGAGCCCTAAATCAATGTCCAGTCCAGCCAGCCTTGCCGTCAAACAGCCAATGAGCAGGTTGAATATGCTCGAAAGATGGCGGAATGGTCCACACAAGGTCATGAAAAGACTTGGCAGGGTTTTCCTTTTGTGAGGCACCCGCCAAACCTTGCTTCCGGGGTAAAGCGGCCCGAATTACATCGGGTCGTGTGAATATGTTGGATGTTTCGTTTTTTTTTTTTTTTTTTTTTTCTTTGCACGAACAAGTTTAAAAAAAAAGAGAGAGAGAAAGAGAGAGAAAAGAGGGTGGCATTTCAAGTGAGCACACTCATTCCAGGACCCCTGACGATGATCAAGTGGCGTTGGAACAGTGCATTTGCATTTGCATTTGCATTCATGTCGCTGCCTTTGTTGTTGGACGATTTCGGGCGTCATGGTTCGCTAATCAACGCGCAGATTGGCCCGACGGCTGTACAGCGTGAGGCATTCGCCACTGAATCGGTGAGTGCTGCAGCTTATTTTTTTTATTTTTTTTTTTTCCTGTAGTTTAGGAAAAGACGCAAGAAATACTGTTTGTTTTATCCGGACCTGCTGCAGTCCTGCAACTTGACCGCCGGGTCGCTGACGGGAAACGTTCCGGCTCCGAGAACGGGAGACATGTACCGATCAACCTTGCGGCGCCCCCCCCCCCCCCCCGCGCCTCCCCTTTCTATGTTGCCGTGACGTCGAGCGTGTGCCACTTGCACTCTTCGTATTTTAGTTGGCCCGACATATACCGGTTAATTATACACGCCGCACACGGAGAGCAGGCAACCATTGAGCCTGGCCAGTTCGAAATTGGAGGTGCGCCGCCACGATATGCATGCAGTCATTTATCAAAGTTTCGGTCTGCGTGCGCGTCGCCTCATTCGGATTCTCTCTCATCTCCCAAGTTCCGAGGTCTTTTCCCATCTGGGTATGTAGTGCATGGCCATGCCAGCAAAAAAAGGTCCCCGGATGGTCGTCTCCGGCGGTCTCGAATCTTTTTTTTCTTTCAATCGGCTTATCCCGACGGGCTTTGCGAATTGTAAAGGCATACTGATAGCTCCTACCGGCATATTGATACATGGCGCAGAGCGGCCTCAACATATGTTAATATGCAAGAATAATTAATAACACTTCCGCCACACAAGGCGTGGTACGGAAGTATATGTAATAAGCTCGTCATGCCGTGCAACCTGACCAGCCCAACCCCCGCAAGCCCGACGTGGAGAGGCGTCGTGGGCAGCCAGATATTAGCCACGTTGCAAGAATAGCCAGATTATCGTGTCATTTATGACAAGCTTCCTTCCGAGAAATGTGCCGGGTAGATTTCCACGTGGTCTCCCTGTAACGGGCTCAGCCAGCAGTGTACTCTCCGGCAAGGATAAAAGTACAAGGCCTGCCTTGAGGCAAGTGTCACTAGGCGGGACTTTTTAATTTTTCTCTATGCATCTTTACAGATCAAAACTGGTAGACAGAGTGGAAGCCAAATTTTGCAAAAATATATATCCATTTTCAAGCTATTTCAAAATACCGCGCAAGCAATTCTTGCTGCCAGACGCCAGTTTTCTTTCTTGGCTGTGGACGCGTGATCCCCATGCTATATTACAAAAAAACGCCTCATTCAAAACGATTTCAACCAATCGCAAATTTTCCCTTCAAAAAGTCTTCCCATGTGACACAGCGCAAAAAGCCCTTTTTAGTGCCTCATGCTCTTTCCAATCTCAGACTGCCAGCCCTTGGAGCGCTCAAAGCCATTCGAGTGCGTCTGAAAGTCTGTCATGGCCTGCACAACCTCTTCCCTCGAGTTGAGTACAAACGGCCCATACTGGACGATTTCCTGGTCAAGTGGCGTGCCCGCTACAATCACGAGACGCGCATCCTTGGCGGCATCCTTGTCATTTTCCACGTAGACGGCGTCGCCCTCTTGGTTAAAGACGGCATTGTGGTACTGCGCGACGGGCACGCGATTCGCGTCGTCGCCTTCTTTGCCAAAGACGACGCCGTCGCCCTCGAGGACGTACGAAAAGGCGTTCCAGCCCTGCGGCAGCGGCTGCACAACCTTGGCGCCGGGCCGCAGCGTCACGTCGAGCAGCCAGACGGGCGTGTAGGCGAGGTCCTTGACCGAGTCGACGCCGTGGCTCTGGCCCGAGATGACCTTGATGGTGGCCTTGCCGCCGTCGACGTCGACCTGCGGAATCTCGGCGGCGCGGAGGTCGCGGTAGCGCGGCTCGCAGTACTTGAGCTCCTTGGGCAGGTCGACCCAGAGCTGCAGGCCCACGTTGGCGCTTCCGTCGGCGTTTTGGCGCGGCATTTCGCTGTGCTGCACGCCTCTGCCGGCAGTCATGAACTGAAGGTCACCAGAGTTGATTGTGCCGCTGGCACCCGTAAAGTCTTCATGATCGACGGCGCCTTCAAGGAGATAGGTAATGGTCTCTTGGCCGCGGTGGGGGCTGGTTGCAATGTTAGCATTTCAAAGCTGAGGAGGGGCGACGCCAGGGAATAACAGAATCAAAAACGGAGCAGAAGAAGAAGAAAAACGTACTGGTCAGGAAATCCAGCCCCAGGTTTAATGGAAAAGTGATCGAGCATCAAAAAGGGCGTAAAGTTGCGCAGGGCCGGCGTGCCAATCGAGCGGCGCACCCGGGCGCCCTGGCCCTCGGACTGCTCTCTGGCCAAAAAGGCCTTTCGGATGGTTCGAGGAATAGCAGCAGATGCGTTGGCAGCAGTCATTGCGACGGCAGGTGTGTGAATGATTCTCTTGTTAAGCAAGTTGAAAGACAGCGAGGTCGTTAGGCGCTGCTTGGCTGCGACGAGCGGAGCGGACGCAATGGTTGCAGTGGCCGATTCGGCTGTGTAAATGTAGACGAGGCTGGAGGAGAGGAGAGCAAAGATGGTTGCTGTGATGATGTTGTAGAGTGTAGATTGAAACATTAAAATTTCTGGGACTTGGGAACAAAGACGGTTGTTATATAGACGAGAAGCGACATGTGGTGGAATAGTTGCGAATACTTTGGAGGAGTCTGGTGCTTTTGAGTAGAGTTGTCTTGCTACATTCCATATGCATCTAGGCTAACCAAGAGCGAGCTTGTTAATAGGTTTCACAGTGCTTTCATAATACTTAGTGACCATCCAAACATCCACTAATTAGATACACAGCCCCTCGCAGTCTTGATTAGAAATTCATTACATCAGCGCTCTCTCTGTAATTGCTCATTGGGCTAGAAAGATCCATGTGGGACACTGGAATAGAGTAATTGGCGATGGCTGATTGGCTGAACTGAGCTTGTTAGTTCTGTGAAAATGCGCTTCCGGAAATAAGGCGGAAATGTCATCCAGACCTTGGGGGAAACAGACAAGAGGGCTGCAACTTGCAAAAAGTTACTTGCAGTTGAATAAAGTCAAGCAATTACGGCAAAGTATCGACATTCTTGATGCCATGGCTTGATTTCTCAATCATGTAGCTTTTATGAATTTGGTTCTGGTCAGAGGCAAGAAGTGTTACAACTAGCAAATACTACCTGCAGTTGAACAAGATTGCTTAATTGCGGAAAAGTATCCGAGATGCAACTTATAAAATTGATTCCGGCAAACTGTCCAAGGAGTCTTTGAAGTTCTACTCGAGATCCAGGCTCGAAACGTAGCAAAAAAAGTCCCACTTTCCAAACAACAGAGCATCAAACACTTCATTTCCCATCACAACATCACATCACGCCTTCTTCACAACCTCGACCAGCTTCGCCACCGCCTCCCGCACCGCATCCATCCCCGGCCGCTGCTCCTCCAAGAACATGGCCCTCTCAAACAAGTGATCCTGGCCCTCCGCCACCACCACCTCCACCCTCTGCCCTCCCATCACCTCGCGCAGCTCCTCGCTCACCCGCAGCGGCACCGCCGCGTCCCCGCTCCCGTGCACCACCACTGTCCGCGGCCATTTCTCCTTGCGCTCCCGCTCCCACCCGCGCCACTCCCTCCCGCCGTCCAGCGCCGCCGTCAGCGCCGGCCAGCGATTCTGGTGGATAAAGTACCTGTACAGCAGCGAGCGCGCGTCCCACAGCCGCTTCTCCGCTTCCGTGCGCGTGTCCTCCTCGGCAACGGGGAGCTGGAAATCCCGGTCGCGGGTCCCGTCTTCCAGTAGTGCCTCGGGACGAAAGATGCTTGCGTTTTCGTGGCCGTTGGGAATGGACCGGCCAACGACGAGGGGAGAGTCGGCGTCGAGGGCGGGTGCGACGGCCGAGTACGGCGTCGGTTCTGGTGTTACAAGCACCGAGGAGCTGTAAAAGGGATCCGTAAAGGAGTTGATGCCGGCAATGGAAAAAAGGGCGACGGGTGGCGGGTTGGCGTTGCGGCCGAGGTAGGAGGCCAGGAAGAAGCCTGCGGCAAAAAGAAAGAGTTAGAACGGCGCACCATGATGTCGTTGAAGGGAAGGGAGGGCGGGACATGCGCACCTGCACTGGCTCCTACCACGATGACTCGTCGCTTTTCCCCATCGCTGCAGTCCCAGTTCTGCGCAAAGTCGTAAGCAGCCGTAACATCTTCCGCCAGGCCGTCGGTGCCCGTCTGCGGCATGAGGCGGTAGCTCGCACTGATGAGCGGCCACTTTTGCTTATAACAAGTCTGATTCAACATTTCGCTCATCAGCCAAAAGAAGCCCAAATTCCATCCCGCAGCGAAAACCACCCTTGGATTACAGCCCTTCTCCTCTCAACGTACCTGTGCCAGCCATGGCGGGACGCAATCCCGGCCCCATCCGCTCAGCGCGCCGGCGTGGAAGAAGAGAGCGACCGGCGCATCTGGCACGGGCTCCGAGGGGGTATAAATGTCGCACTCGATGGGCATGCCATGGTTGGCGTACACTTTTGTGATTTTTTCGAGCATGGTGACAATGAATGGGGTTTTGTTCATGTCTGGTGGTTAGTCCGTCCCTGCAAGTTTAAAAGGCAGAGAGCGGCTGCTGCACACGGCGGATGCGGGGTCGGCACCGGAACACAGCCGCCCGGCATCGACTGGTAGAATGGAAGCTTTTACCTCCTCTCTTTTTTTTCTTTGCTCGAGGTCTCGCGAGGCAAACGCCCTTTTCATATTGGGAGTGCTATAGTCTCGCCAATGATTAGAGTGTTGGTGTTGCTCTGAGCGGTAACCTAGCTCTCATCGCAAACAACCCGGGCCCCATCCATCTGCGTACCTCCTCGGTTTGCGCATTACTTCCGGCGTCGATAACAATCACTCTCTTCAAAAGTTCCGCCAGCGCTTGCTTGTTGTCCGTTTCACTGCAATCAGCTCCCGCGCAGGATAAATCTGTTCCCATTGGCGCTGCTCTTCAGTCTCTGCCCGTGTCTTGTTCCCGGCTTCACTCCTGCCCGTCGAGATTGTCCGTCGTGATGGCCATCCGTTCTTTGCAGGGTAGGCGTCACACAAACTTCCTCGGGGTTTTTCTAGATGTTGTCATGCTGCACCTCTGACCAGGCCTTCTTGATGACTATCCCCAATCTGAGTCTCTACCCTCAACGTTTGCCAAGTCCTGGCAAAGCACGCGTTCATTCATCTTTCTATTCCACAACCAACTGCCATGCCTTGTACCTAGCGTACGCCCAGCTATCTCTGTCCTTGCCAAAGACTCAATTTCATCGCTTCTCTACATTGCTCTCCGTGTCGAAAGTTGCGCTCTCTTCGAAGACGTCGAGAAGTGTCGCACACTGTGCCGAACAAATGGAAGGGTTAAACTGCTCGTTATCATGTCCTACTTTGAAAACGTTACGCACGAGGTATAGGTAATCTGCGCCCTTTTAGAATTGACCACGTCTTCGTGTTATATTAGCGAGAGCTTACACAGTAGGATGCGCTCGCGGTAGACATGACATATAGAAACACGTCTTTGGCAAGATGTATTGGGCAGACTAATTATTATGTATTAATACCGTGACGCTAAACAGGTCAACGGCCGAGACAGGCAACAATCAGGTTTATATTCTTTTAAACACTTGTGGCATGAAACCATACATTAAGAAACCCTTTGTCCACTCCCGTCGTTACCATTAGAACAAGAACAAGATCAGTAAATCATATCGACCCTCGTGGAGCCTGCCTAGCACCTCGACCCCAAAGGTCGAGAGCCGAGTACCACGTTTTTGTCTAGATTTGCCCGAGTAGGTTCTTCCAGTTCAAATGCGACACCCAGGTGACCATTTGTATCGAGGTGCATCAGGCGGGGTATTATGTGACAAACATGTGCATCATGAAGAAGAAGAAGAGATTGCAGACAACAGCTCATGCTTTACAGCATAAGAGCAGCAATACCGGCGGCAGCGGCGACAAGGCCGACCTGAGCGGTGGCCTGGGGCGCGTAGTTCTGGGAGCCAGTGGTGGAGCTGGCACCAGCGCCGCCCTCGGTGGAAGAAGATCCGCCATTGCCACCAGAGCCCTCAGAGGAAGTGGGAGCCTGGGTCGTCTCAGAGCCGTTGCTACCCTGGGTCGAGGAGGCACCAGCGCCGTTGCCAGACTCGGAGCCAGTGGTTTCAGAGCCGGAGCCGGAGGTGGACTCGGAGCCGGCACCAGTACCGGTGGAGGTGGCCTCGTCAGAGCCAGTAGAGGTGGCGCCGTTGCCACCATCGGAACCAGTAGATTCGGAGCCGGAACCGGAGTCAGTGGAAGAGCCAGAGCCGCCAGCACCGCCAACGCCACCAACACCGTTGCCGGAGCCAGAGGTGCTAGTGGCCTCAGAGCCGGAAGCAGAGTCAGTGGAAGAGGCACCATTGCCACCATCGCCACCGGTGGAGGAGGCACCGTTGCCACCGCTACCGCCGTCACCACCAGTGGAAGAGGCACCGTTGCCGCCGTTGCCGCCGGCGCCGCCAGTACCGGAAGCAGATCTGCAAGCGGCGATACCGAAGGCGACAACCTGAGCGGCGTCCTCGCTGGGGCAGATGGCTGCCGAACAGTCACGGAGACCGAAGCCGAAGTTGGCGTTGTCGCAGAGGCACTTCAGGTCGTTGGCGCTGCAGCCGAGCTCCTGGGCCTTGGAGGCAGCCAGCATGTTGTTGGCGCAAGTTTGCTGCGACGGGATGTTAGCGTGGAGCCTGTGTGGGTTGATGTCGATGATTACTTACACCGCACTGAGCCAGGCTGGAGACGTCCTGAGCGGTGGCAATGGCGGCCAGAGCGCTGAGAGCAACAAATGTCTTCATTGTGACGGGATGTGAATTAAAATTCAAAATCTATGTCGGCGAATGTCAGCGAAGGCTCGGTTGTGTGTTGTGCATGTCGGTGAAGCATGACCGAAGCCCTAGATCGGAATGGAAAGAGACGTCGAGAGCATTGAAGCAAGGCACAGTGGGTTGAGCGACGTGGTTGTAGCCAATCGCGATCGGCAATTGTTCGAATTCAGAGCGCGTATCGTCAATTGGTGGGCATAAAAGCCTGAAATAGGGCCATTCGTTTGGTTGGTGCATCGGCGGAGAGGCTTGAAGTGTAAGACGAGAGGGTGGATGCAAGACCTACTGTTTAGAAGAAGTGAAGTCGACGAGACAAGACACAGGGCTGAGGTGTTGCAGGGAATCGTTGATAGAAACACTTAAGTGAGAAAGCCGGTGGCAGTTGAAGCGTGGGGAGAAGGAAGAGAAGAAGGGATCTCGAGGATGGAGGGGGAGGAAGTCGATTATTAGTAGTGCAGCGGGAGCGTGTCTGGGAAACGGCAAACGGCAAGCGGGTGTGACCAATTGACCCAGAAAATGAACTCTAAATGTGGATAGCGATGGGTGTCTGCCAGCTGGCACCTGTGGGAGGGTGGCAGCTGGCAACTGGCAGAGGGTAGAAGAGCAAACGGAGGGCATGATGGCCTGGTGTTGCCATTTTCCTGTTGCTGGTCTTGCAAGCTGCCTCCTTCCAAGCTCCAGAGGTGGACTAGAGACTAGCGCAAGACGGCTGCACGCGATGGGTCTGCAAGGTATGGATGTACCGTGTGCCATGGTGTGTGCAGGTACCTTCCGTTACAAGCGGGTACGTGCAGCCAAACCTTCCTTGGGCCAGTATCCGTACTCTATCTAATACTGGTAAATTTCCTTGCCTCAACTCTCCTCATCAACTTCCTCTGGGTCTGGGGGCTGGATTTAATGCGCTAGGCTGGGGTAGCACTAGCAAGGTACAAATCACCGCGCTGGGTCGGCCTTGAACGGACATGGTGCGCTAAAAAATCGATTCGGCACTAGCCACACAGGCGGACAGGGGTGCAGGGGTGCAGGGGTGCAGGGGTGGCTCAGGGAAAAGGGAAGAGTGGAGAAATGCTCGTCATAGCTCTCTCACTCTTTTCCTCTCCCTCTTGAATCTTGTTAAACAACAGCGGGGATTGCCACTGTAAAAGGACAGCCAAACAGGGTCAGTTCAGCCAAGCAAGGCCTTGTCCGTTGATATTCCCATCGCAGCTCAAGTGATGAGGCGCGGGCTACAAAGAACTACCCTATGTATGGATACTGATTCTATCATCCGTACATCGGCAGAAACAATGCATGTGTGACTGCATTGATGATGTAGCAATTACCATCAGCTAGTTACTGATTACAGGCGAGCGAGCTTCCGAGCCACACAGCCAGCCCGTGCCAGCCCTCGTCAGGTACAGCGGCAGCTACTTCAGCACCATTATGACATTTTCAGGTTTTTAGCCTTTATTTATTTACTTTTTTGTCTCTAGTACAGTCCTGTGTAATAACAATTCTGATTCAGCCCGCGCACTAAACACGCGCCAAAGCCCCTCGCGGCCTCTGTTTGGTTGGGCATGCTCCTATCTAGCTCGGTCTCGGTGGGCTTTAGCGGCCTCTTCCATTGTAAACTGCCCATGAAAGTCGCCAGTGGGGTCAAGCATCTAAAGCGAAATGAAGAGTAACTTGCCATGGCACCACCAGAGGTTATTCGTAGTTGATTGACGATTGATTTTGTTTTAAAATTGCATTGTCCGATTTTCTGGGCCGCCTCTGTCATGCATCTCTTCACCATCGGCCAGTAGGAGCCTGTAGAGGACCAACTCTGAAGCTTGCGAATTAGCGTTTTCCCAATCAAACAACAAACCCAAAGGAAAAAAGTCTCCCGTAATACCAGGCATGCATGAGATTCAAAGTCAGTTCTCGCGAGCTTGAGCATCCCTTCCCTGAAAGCCACATCTCCCTCCAGTACACCTTGTCTCGGACCCCGCGTAGCCTAGATACTGGCCGTGGAATCCCCTCCCTTTGAGATCCCTTGCTCCCCAGTGCTCCCTTATACCAGCAAAGCCCTTAATAATATTGCATTTCGGGCAAGGGCGTGATTCGGGAAAAATTTTATCGCGTCGGCTTCAATGGTATGCTATTGGGGAGTGTCTACGGCCACCCCATTTCCAGACATTATGTCTTGGGACACAAAGGCCTGTAGCGAGGCCAGAATGCTACTGATACATCGGGTCTGTCCTGCATACTTGCTGCTAGGCCTCGTCACGCCGCACTGCTGAAGAGACTTGTGTCTCGACATAGCCAGTTGCCACGATTCCATATCGGCTCGTCATCACAAGTAGAGCTACACTGCCAAATAAGTTGAAATAACCAATCGCTAAAAAAGCCAGCAACCTGATCCAGAAGCCATCCAAATTGAAATACTCGGGGAGACTCCCGCTTCAGCTAGCCTGTGCTTACATTGGCAGATTGCAGGGCCGTCCATTGCCGCTGCTCCTGCCGGAACCGGTTTGCCTGTCTATCCACGAATAACACGGCAGATAACTACGTGGAGAAATGGTCGTTGCCAACCTGTTACTCAATCTTCGCGTACTGCCACTTACACGCTCAATAGCAAACGCTCTCAAACCCCATGCGACGCCAAGCTCGCGCGGGTGCACCTACGCATTCCAGAGTTTTCTTGGTGAATCATCTTTTCGTAGCACACTCAAATACTGCACTAGCAAACCACCCACAGACGAGTTTTTGAGGGATATTGTATCAAAACACAGCGCGATGGGCTGATGATTTATCCGATGGTTTCTTATAACGATCGCCGTCGTCAGCGGGGACTCTCACGCCTCGACCGAGACTCTGGTTCACCCGCTGTTTACGTTCGTACAGCATCTGTAACGGAATGCTCAATTGCCATCATGTATCTTCCAGCAAAACAAAAAGAAGCAACAAGCTCAGCGAAAGAGTAAAGAGTAAAGATCCCATAGTACTAATTTGCCTGGCTCCCTTGAAACAGACAGGGCGATAGCTTGGGCCGCCGCGCGGAGGGGCCCGGCTCAAAGTCTAAATTATCAACGGATATAGAGCACTGTTCTTGGCTTGACAAATACATAGTTGGGTACCATGTCGGCGCGCCGTCAGATGAAGATAGTTCACATGCTCCAGATCACAGATGATGCAGACACGACGGGAAGACTCGAGCTTGGTTGGTACGCGCGCCCCGAACTCGAACAGGAACGTTTTTAGGTGCGTGTGGCGCAGGCGCTGCACCAATTCAGCGGCCTCCAGGCGCCCAAGCGCCGCAGCTTTCAGCAGCTCGCTGTCTCCGACGCGGGCACGCCGTCTCTAGCCACGTCCTGCTACCACAACAAGCCTGCGCCACAGCGAGCAAGCTGGACAAGCTGGCACACGGAAAGCTTCGTGACAGCCTCACACTCCCACTACTGACCATCAGCACACCAGCTACCAGTATTCCGAGCGTAGCCAGCACCAGGCTTCCATCGAGTATCCATCAAGTATCCATCAAGTAATTGTCTCCAACACTCGACTTCAATTCAACGATCCTATGTACACTGTCAACTCGACTGCCAGCCTACGGAGCCCCGTTACTCCGTAGGTACTGAACACTACAATCGCCGTTTGCATCACCAATACAATACAATACAATACAGATTTCGCTTATAGCATCTTGGCTTTCCCAAGCAGTCCAATTGCAAACGCCGACGAACCAGCCGACTAATTTCACAGGCTCCAGACTCGTGGGTTGGTTCCAGGTTGATTGGTACATATTTGCTTGGCGAGCGTCTTCGGAGACAACGCCGTTCAGAAATCAGCGGGACACACCTCCACGGCGTGGCGCGCCACAGGGCCTGCATTGGTTCGGCTCCCTGCCCCTCCCGCTTCGCTCCCCTGCTCAGCTGGGCTCTCAATTGCCTGCTCCACAACTCAGTTACATCATCCGTCACAATTTGGCAAAGGCAGGTTGAGCCGGCTGGCCAGCCAAGGCCTCTCTGCCCTGGCTCGGTTCGATTGCTTCACCCACATCCCATCCGCCCTTGGCCGCAGCTTGCGCCACACGAATCTTCGACGTCACTCTGTACTTGAAACTGTCAGATGTGCGCCAGGCCACCCGGTAATAGCTCTATGCCTGGTCGGCGAAATGCGACATTGCCGTTGAGAGACCCGAAAAGCAAAAGCAGAACCATGATAATTGCGCTGTCCCGTCTGGGGCTTGGGGCCTAAGCAATCGGTCGCTCGGTATAATCGTTCATCTACCTTTGCCTGACCGCTTTGGGGCACACCGTCACCCAGCCAGCCATGGCCAAGCACTGGGGTTGTCGACTCTGTCTTTGGCGAGGCCCCAGCGCCACAAAACCTCCTCCAGCTCGACTGATCCACAAGGACGATCCACTGGTGCATGGACAGCCATATAGCTTATCATGAACGGATAACACGACAGGGTCATCGATTTTTTCGATTGGCAAGGCCTCGCAGTTTGTATCAATCGACCGACCGTTCAACACCCCCCAAACCCCCTTGCCTTCTCGACTGGTTTGAACTAGACAGTCATGCTCAATGCTTGGGCTCTATAGCCGGACAATCATCAATAGTTTTTGCAGTCTCTGAACTGAAAGCCACATTACCTCACATCTGGCGACCACTGACGCCGTCCGATCTCCAACCATGCTGCACCCATGCTCATGGTTCCATTGGTGCTCCAAGCCACGCTTCTTACAGTGGGTGTGATCCAGTTAGCCGGCAGCTGCCAGCAGCCACTTTGGAACCCATCGCGGCTTTTTGTACCAAATTTGGCCAACATCAACCTAGCCGGGACCTGTTAGTCTTGCTAGTTGAGCTTTCCGGGAAGCTCTTCTGCTCTTCTGGTGCAGGTTTCATGTCATGACTTGACTAGCAAGTTTTCTCTAACTTTTTGCAAGTGCTTTACGAATACTCCTCCCAAGAGCGGACCCAGGTGTCGGACTATGTTGGTGAGACTGCCAGTACGTAGAGGTACAAGTCTGATACAGCCATGTACTCGATGCCCTCGCCACTAATCAGCATAACCGATGCATGCTTACTTCAAATGTCTGTTGGCTAAAACCCTTTGCGACAGCGGCCAACCGCCACCGCTACCCATCGCCAAGCCGATACCCTGACAATTCATGCAAGTAGTGCACCGCTCGCTTGGCCTGGCTGCCTCGCTGCCTGGCAATTTAGATTCAGAGAGAGAAGAAACGCCTCGTGAACCCCGTGAGACATGCAACTTATCTATCGCCGCAATCGGTGCCCTGATTACTTGACGGCTCGATCAGTTGCCGAAAATCACCAGTGTCTCGCAACTCAGGCATTTCCCGATAGGCACTTGTTTACGCTTCACAGTATTGCACTACATCTTCTCATGTGGCGGCTACAGGAACGATATGCAAACGATACAAGATAGAACAAGAATTGATCTCGTGTTCTTCCGCGCCCTCTTTCGTTTGCTAAGCCAACTGTCATCTTAGTACTCGGCTCTTTTTTTCTTATGAATGAGCTCATTCTCAATTCCGACGATACCCAACGTGCCAAGTCAATAGCGATGTCAGGCAGAAAGCCCCCAAATTTTATACTTTACCGCTGTCAGCAGGCGCTTCTGTACAGCACCTTGATTGGCCACGAAATCACACTGAAGCTTCCCTGTATTCGTTCGCGGCCGTTTCCAGACAAAGGTGATCGTCATTGCCTCTCTATTCGGCTTAGGGCTTGCCAAAGAAAGAACGCATCGAGCATTGAAGAAAAAAGTTCTGCACTAATGCACATGGAACCTCGGCTCCCGCCGTTGCATAGCGCGAGAAAACTATACGCTGCGCCGCTCGGAAGGCCGCAGAAGGGAACCCCGGAGGGTAAAAAAAAGGACCGACGGGCCAAGGACAGAAAAGAAAAGTCAATCGACAGTGACGCAACAGATCTGCGCAAAAGTTCCAAGCTGTTGATTGTTATGCACATTGTTGTTCACCTTTGCATTGACGACAACACACCGCATATCCGTATCATGCATGCAGACAAGCATCAACACTTGGCTGACGCTGGTGCATGCAGACCACAGCCTCCATTCACTAATAGTCTCGCGCGCTGCATATTGATTGACTTATCTCTCTTGATGTTGACGTAATGGTCATGACAAAGGATCGGATACACAGAGCTGCAACCTGAGCCTCTTCTGGTGATGCCACTTTGAGACCTTGCCGTGCAGCCTTCTGCTTTGTTGTTGATTCATCCGAAATCAGCACTTGACCACAGATCCGGCACAAAGCCTCTTGTATCCTTCTCGTCACCAGCGGAGACGCTTGCCAAGCGCCAGCAAGCAAGCAATGCTATCGCGCAAGGCACGGGCAAAGAAAGTACCCGGCAAAGGACCAGGATAGATGGTGGGATCATTGAGATATTGTCTTGGTCCCGCCTTGGTTTTCGACAAGCTGTCTCGCTCCAACGACCGTCGGCCTGGCTCACAGAGCAGCTACGCTTCCTTCTTCGACGACATCGTGGAGCTCGGCACCACGGAAATTGAAGAGACTGGTACCTGTGCGTCAATCATAGGAGCACGATAAAGCCAACGCGATCTGACACATGAATCATGAACAAAGACAAGTACCCGGCCGATTGAACGAAAACGTACACCTTTGTACAAGGACTGCCGGTGCCTCATCGACGAGAAGATGTCGCGATTCGGTCAAAGAGCTGAACGAGAGCATGAACGAAGCAGCGGATGCCTGGGTCACACAACCGGCCAAATAGTCGTCTCTGTCAAATCATCGAGCCTTGTTGGCTCTTCTTTGTTTGCATGTTTGACATAAGCCATGGCACGACCATCGGGCGTTTCTAGAGATGGCGGACTATGTTACGGTGCTTCCTCGACCCCTGCCGTTGTTCTCTTCGGCTGTTGCTTCTTCGTCACCAATCACCATGACGTCTTTCAGCTGGCAACTCAGCTTTTGCCACAGACGATGATTGAACAATTAAGCTGCTCGTAACCTAGTTTGTCCTTGTGCATTTGCCAGGGTCTTGTAGCAGCGCCGAGTAAACATGGGAAAGCGGTGATTGGGCGGCTTCTACCAGTTTGAGCAGGCCACAGCACACGACTCAGGACTGTGCACTCAATGATACATTCGTAGTTCACATTAACTAAGTGAAGGAGGAGTACACAGAAACGCTCATTGCAGCGAGATTATTAACATCTCGTCTTGCGAGAGCTTGAGGTAAAAGAGAAAGATAACACCCAAGATATCGTAACCAGTCTTCAAGACGAAACAACAAATCAGCAAACCAAATGATAAAATCCAATGACCAAAGCTGCTATTATCAACCATGAAAGCCTATTTTCACTTGTCCCGTCATGCTTCGCGGAAAATAAAGCAAAAAAAAAAAAATGAACCTTCCCACATGCCTATTCGTCTGCTTCCAAAGCGATTGGATTTGCAGTCATACATTCGTGTCTATAATGATTGTAGGGGATACCCTAACCGCTGCACATAAGGCAGGATTCGGGGTTCTCGATGCTGCAGGCAACGACGGCTTCGGAGTAAATGTCACGCTCGCGGACCTCGTTGCCTTCGCCATCCTCGTCCTGGTTGCTGGTGCGCTTGCCCTCGGCGAGCTCGTCGTCAACCTGCTGCGAGGGCTCAGTGGCAAGAACCTTGGGGCTATCACCATCATCAACATCAGCCTTCATAGTGTTGGGCTTCTGAGGCGAGGATAGGGGCCCTCTGGTGGCGACCAGAGGAGGCGGAGTAGTGGAGGGGGTCGGGATGCCGTTGGAGCTGACAGCACTGACAGTATTGCCGGCATCCTTGGGGGCAGAAGAAACTTTGCTTATGGGAGAGGCAGAGGACATGTAGCTGGTGCCGGCCGGAGGGGCGCGCTTCTTCGGGAGACGCTCGCGGGCAGTAGCGGCATCAACCACCTTCAAGGCTTCCTGATCGACAGTGAACTGGATAGGTGCGGCAGCAGCCTGTGTACGCAGGTAGTACATGCCAGTCTTAAGACCGAGTTTCCAGCCGGCGAAGTGCATGCTGGTGATCTTGCCCATGGTGGGATCACGCATGTGGATGTTGAGTGACTGAGACTGATCAATGAAAGCGCCACGGTCAGCAGCCATTTGGATAACCTGGCGCTGGGAAATCTCCCAGACAGTCTTGTACAGAGCCTTGATATCGGCAGGGATATTGGGAATATTTTGAATGGAACCATTCTCAGCAATGATGCGGTTTTTCATGGCGTCAGACCAAAGGCCCATGTCGACGAGATCCTTGAGCAGCCAGGGATTGACAACCTGGAACTCACCGGCCAGAACACGGCGCTGATAAATGTTGGAAGTGTAGGGCTCAAAGCACTCGTTGTTGCCAAGAATCTGTGAGGTACTGGCAGTAGGCATGGGAGCAACCAGGAGAGAGTTGCGGACACCGTGCTGCTTAACCTGCTCACGGAGCTCATCCCACTCCCAGAGGTCAGAGGGCTTGACATTCCACATGTCGTGTTGCAGAATACCCTCAGAGGCGGGGGAACCCTTGAACGACTCATAGGGACCCTCCTCCTTGGCAAGCTCCACGGAGGCAGTGAGGGCAGCATGGTATATGGTCTCAAAGATCTGCTTGTTGAGCTCACGAGCTTCGGGAGACTCAAAGGGCATGCGAAGGGCAAGGAAGGCATCAGCAAGGCCCTGGACACCGACACCAATGGGACGATGGCGCATGTTGCTGTTGCGAGCCTCGGGGATGGGGTAGTGGTTGACATCAATGATGCGGTTCAGGTTACGCACAACAACCATGGTAACCTCATGCAGCTTCTTGAAGTCATAGACGCCTTGGTTGTAGTCAACGTAGGCGGGAAGGGCCAGGGAAGCGAGATTGCAGACAGCAGTCTCGTCGGGAGCACAGTACTCGATGATCTCAGTGCAGAGATTGGAGCTACGGATAGTACCGAGGTTCTTCTGGTTGCTCTTGCGGTTGCAGTGGTCCTTGTAGAGCATGAAAGGGTTACCGGTCTCGGTCTGTGCCTCTAGTATAGAGTACCAGAGCTTCTGAGCCTTGACAGTCTTGCGACCCTTGCCCTCGCGCTCATACTTTTCGTAAAGAGCCTCGAACTCGTCGCCGTAGCAGTCGGCAAGACCAGGGCACTCATTGGGGCACATAAGGGTCCATTCACCGTTCTTCTCGACGCGCTTCATGAACAGATCGGGAATCCAGAGAGCAAGAAAAAGATCACGGGCGCGAACCTCCTCCTTGCCGTGGTTCTTGCGGAGATCAAGGAACTCAAAGACATCGGCGTGCCAGGGCTCGAGGTAGATGGCAAAGGCACCAGGGCGCTTGTTGCCACCCTGGTCAACGTATCTAGCAGTGTTGTTGAAGACACGGAGCATGGGAATGATACCGTTGGAAGTACCGTTGGTACCGGCGATGTAGGAGCCAGTGGCACGGATGCGGTGGACGTTGAGGCCAATGCCACCCGCCATCTTGGAGATCATAGCGCAAGACTTGAGAGTGTCATAAATACCCTCAATGGAATCATCCTTCATGTCAACCAGGAAGCAGGAGGACAGTTGGGCCTGAGGAGTACCGGCGTTGAAGAGAGTGGGCGAGGCATGGGTAAAGAACTTGCTCGACATGAGGTTGTAGGTCTGAATAACGCGCTCAATATTGTCTCCCCAGATACCGACCGCGACACGCATAATCATGTGCTGGGGACGCTCAACAATCTTACCGTTGAGCTTAAGAAGGTAGGAACGCTCTAGGGTCTTGAAGCCGAAGTATTGGTAGTTGAAATCGCGGTCGTAGACGATGGCGGAATCGAGCTCCTCCTTGTGTCTCATTACGCACTCATATGTTGACTTGGCAATCATGGGGGACGCACGGTCGTTCCTGGGATTGACATAGTGATACAAGTCGCTGATGACGGACGACCATTGCTTCTTAGTCTGCTTGTGGAGGTTGGAGACGGCGATGCGGGCCGCGAGGATAGCGTAGTCAGGGTGGGTGACGGTCATGTATGCGGCAGTCTCGGCAGCCTATCAAGGGGTGCGATTAGCAACGGCGATGGGCGATTGCATTGCGAAGCACAAGAGCACTTACGAGATCGTCAAGCTGAATAGTGGTTACACCACCATAGACACCGGAGATGACCTTTTGAGTGATGGCGACGGGGTCGACATGTTCAGTGTCGAGACCGTAACACAGTCTTGAGACACGAGCAGTAATCTTGTCGAACTGGACACGCTCTTGGCGTCCATCTGCAGTAGACATTAGGGCCGCATCTCAGGATTGGATGGATGCATCGCGACGTACCTCTCTTCTTCACGTACATGGCGTCGACGTGATGGTGTCGACGAAGCGACGATGAAGGGCTGAAAAGAAGAGGCGAAGGGAGAGTTGGTTCTCTCTGAAGGCTGCAAGTATCAACTGGACACATATACAGTTGTTGCAGGATGAAAGGTCGTTGCAATTCAAGGCCTATGTGTGATGCAGAAGCAGATGCTGAAGATGAGAAGAGTGAAGAAAACGCGTAGAAAGAAACGGTGGAACGGGCTTCTTATGTCTGGGCGCGTGGTTTGCTACGCGACGCCAAAAAGTAGCGCGACAAACAATGACAAACCCGAGAAATCCATTAAACGGCTGAGCTAGTGGGGTTTGGACCAGGGTTATCAATGTTGCCCACGGCGACCAGATTGCTGCTGAGACAGAACGGCAATGCAGAAAAACGTCTGTTCATACTCCAGGTCAGGTAAAATTTACTTCGGCTCCTCGAGGAATATACTTTTGCCATTTTGAGGCAATTCTAGCGACTTAGATACGCCACCCACGTCTCGACGTAACCACTTAAAGTGGCAGTTGAGGCGCGTTGTGCGCTGTGGCGCGCAGTCACGTGGACTGGGCGATGCACTTAAAGGCGACGGCGACCGAAGGGAATCGAAGGTAATGCGACTTTTGATTTAGTGTCCTTGTACCTGGCTAACGGAAACGTGAATGCAAGTGTTTGCTTTCGCCGAAACTGAGCAAGCGACTATTGCTGTCAATTTTGAATTCGACATGGTCCCTGTGGCGCGGGCCCGTAGTGCGAATTGCGATGCTTATAAATTGCGCTTGATTAGCATCGCAAATTCAGTCGGCTCCTCAAGTACACGGGACGTTAAGCGTTCGTCTTTCTTCACAGCTTTTCCACCGTTTCGCCTCGACGTTTCAACCGTTAGCAACCGCGGCTGTGGCTGTGGCTGTGGCCGTGACCGCGACCGCGTTTCGCACTGTGACGCGCAATCACGTGCAGTCTCTACAGTGAACAAGGAGGACTCGTAATTCCTTCCCTCTTGGCAACCCGCCACTTCACGCGGGTCGGCCGTGATTTTCGGCTCTATTGCAGCGTACTCACTTCACTAACCTGGCGAGGAATGTGTTCGTCTCGTAACGGCTCGCCAAGAATCGGTGCTCCTCCAATTAAACGCAGTGGTGTCATGTTATGGAAGGGATCCGGCTGACGTGCAACTTTGTGTGATTTCCGAGCTCGGTCACGATCGGACTCCGATCTTATCAGATCATAACATGGGTGTCCGGCTCTCACAGCCATGGCAGGAGCCAATCTGCACTGTGAGGCTATCGCTGGTACCTACAGCGCTCAACTTCAGTTTTCACAAAAAAACCATAAGGCTATGATAAGGTACAATGTATGCACAGCTTCATACCGAAATTTTCACGAGGCGTATCTGTAGCCTCGACTTAAGTCTCTGTTGCAATCTTTAGACGAGTTGGGCTAGCTCTCGAAGACTTTAGTTACTGCCTGCAACAGCAGTCATAGCAGAGGAACCTGGCTCGCGCGACGCTGGATGTGTCGGTTCGTATTCGCAATCACTGCATGACAACGCCAAACGGCAAACAAGCATCAATTTTCATCTTCTCCATACTCCCTTTTGACATGCCTGCATACAACATGCTGTTGCTCACGCCCCCTTCCGACTGATATCACCGACATAGCGAGCCTGTTCAGCAAGCCGCCCATTGACGCTTACCCCAAAGGCCGAGGTCAGCCTCGTCGAGCGCGCGAAGCTACGGCCGGTCCTTGTGGGTACACCGGATGTGCTGAGGCGTTGGCGGCTCCGTAGATACACGCCGGGGCCGTGAAAAGACATGACTACGACAGCAGCCTATGACGACGTATCTGCAGCTTAGATCGGGGCCGTTTCGAGGCGCGAAGCTCATGCAAGGTTGCCTAGCTGCTATCGTGAGCACTACGAATTTCTCGGGCTCGTACTATGAGAAACTGTTTGGAGTTGACTTAAGTAACGAATGGGAGTGGTGTGCGACTTTCGTGATGTCCTCGTGCCAGTCGTGTAAATGACGGCGTAGGGTTCATGGATATGCTGTGTGGCCTCGACAATTTGATACTCTCGAAATTAGCCAGGAGACTCGCCTGAGCGTTGCTAGGTGTTGGTGCCGCCGCTATCCTCAGTTGATCATCTACAAGGGCGACTGAGTGGTGCATATATTTTTTACTTGTTTTAGATGCATGGCGTGGGTGTGTTTTCTCGACATAGGCCTTGCTGTGATGAGAATGCTCTTGATGCGAAGCTGGCTTAGGGCGCGGACGTACAGCGAAACACCTGACCCACTGGTCGAGTAGTCGAGGCGCACTAGCCATTGCCCAAGCCAGCCTCAGTCTGCGAAACTAAAGCCACCACGATAATTCAAAAATCTAACATAACCATAAAGTGGTGACTCAAAGTCACCGGATGACTCTTCAATTATACAAGAAGATCTATACATATCTGTTAAATGCTCTGTCGGCCAAGGTCAGTCGGAAGAAATCTAACATTGAAAATTAGCAAAACTGTCAGAAGACTGACATCACCCACCCTAGACCTCGATTTACCCAACACTCACTATTACGTTGTTTCCCATCACATTGTTTCGTGAATCTGGCGTTTTACAGCATGGCAACTCAAGCACCTTCGGCAGAGCCTTTGCCTCTAGCATATAACCCCAGATATGTCGATGTAAGGAGCTCTCGACGCAACTTGGCGATGACGGCTGACTCATTGGGCCAGATTGGCATCAATCTCGCAGATCGTGTTTACCGCGGCAGCTATCGCGGCAAGCAGAAGCACCCCGACGACCTTCAAGCCGTGGTAGACAGAGCAAAGCAAGTAGGATGCACGAAACTACTGGTGACTGGCTCGGACTGGCACAGCATCAAAGATGCAGCCGACCTCGCACAGGAGTATCGTGAGTCGGACCCGTACACAGTCGACGCTGTATTTTCCTGCTCACACGTATTTTATTCAAACAGCTGGAACCGTCTACTATACTGCCGGTATTCATCCTTGCAGCAGTAGCATATTCGGCGTTGGTGACTCAACTGCCCACGACGAAGAGCACACGCCCCCCTGTGACCCAGACCCGTCAGCGCGCATCCCTGAATGCGCAGTTGACCTTCAAAAGTCGACCGACAACATTTCACAACTGAAAAAGATCTTGACGGATGCTCAGGCGTCGGGCGCCGGCCACCTGATTGCCTTTGGCGAGTTTGGTCTCGACTACGATCGGCTTCACTTTTGCAACAAGACGGTGCAGCTGCACAGCTTCGCCGAGCAGCTCAAGCTCGCCGCGTCCATGCAGCTCCAGCTGCCGCTCTTTCTGCACTCGCGCGCGGCGGCCGCCGACTTTGCGCGGCTGATGAAGGACGCCTTTGGCCCGCGGCTGGAGAGGCTGCAGCGCGGCGGCGTCGTGCACAGCTTCACCGGCTCCCTGGAGGAGATGCGCGAGCTGCTCGACCTCGGCCTCTACGTCGGCGTCAACGGATGCAGCTTCAAGACGGAAGAGAACTGCGCCGTCATCAAGGAGCTGCCGCTGGACCGCATCATGCTCGAGACGGACGGGCCCTGGTGCGAAGTGCGTCCGAGCCACGCCGGCTGGAAGTACCTCATCGAAAAGCTCACAGAGCCAGAGCATGCCGTGTCCGAGACGACGACAACGACGACGACGACGCCTGAGTTGAATGATGTCGCTGGGGCGCCGAATGGCTTTGACAAGAAGCACAAGCCCCAGAAGCAGCCAAATCACGGCAAGAAAAAGAACCAAAAGACGGAGCCGGACGTGCCATCGCGTTTCAAAGCAACCAAGACCTGGCAGGAGGGATGCATGATCAAGGGTCGCAATGAGCCCTGCACAATAGAGCGCATCGCCAAGATTGTGGCGGGCATCCAGGGCGTTTCCGTGGAGGAGGTCTGCGAGGCGGCGTGGAGAAACACGAACAAGGTATTTGACCTCGGCGAGAGCGCATAGCGTTGCGACTTTAGAAGAACAACAGAAAGCGTATCTTGGTTAAGAATAGAAATAGAGTTGGACAGGGTCTGTCCTATCCTGGGGTATCATTATTCCAAAGATGACATCTAATCAACGCTAGATTTATAAATACATGACAAAAAGGCAAGTACACAAAAAAAGGTCATAAAACTCGTCATACTCCTGAGCCCTTGTTTCCTTTTATACGACCATGGTGTACCACGCCTATGGTGACGCCGTCTTCGCCAGTCATCCAGCCAGGCATGCGCTCGCCGTCGACGATGCCGGCCTCCACCAGCTGCCGAATGCCGGCAAAAACATGAGCACCCTGAAAGGTGATGCGCACATTGGGAGTCCAGCGTGAGTCGGCGTCCCGACGTGAAGGAGCAGTCGCAGACGCAGCGTCGTCGCCGTCGTCGTTCAGCATGGCGTCCAAGCTCCCTCGCGGCCCTCTCCTGCCAGAAGTCGGGGCCCCGTCGTCATTATCTGAGCCCTGTACGTCGACGCCATTGACGGACGGGTACGGGTCCTGGACGACGACATCGAGGCGTTCCACGCCCTTGCCGTCTGTCATGATGCCCGAGTCGCCAAAGCGTCCCTTGGCCACGAGCTTGGCGCGTTTGGCCTCGCGGCGCTGCTGCGTCAGCGGTGAGGCTCTTTTACGGCTGTGCTCCGACGCCGACAGCGGGTGCGGCGGCAGCACCGAGTCCAGAGGCGACTTTTTGTTCTTTTCATTGGCGTAGATGCTCCAGCCTCCGTTGGCGGCATTGCCGCGGCCCGGACCTTTGCGATCGAGCAGCGCATCTAGGTTTCTGCTGGTGAGGCCCGAGTTTTTAAGGGTGAAGCGCTGCCGCGGTCTGGAGAGCGCTTTCGGCACGCCCTTGACGATTAAGCTCTGCAGGCTGCGCGACTCGCCGTGGGCAGACGCACCCGCCGACTGCGACTTGGAGATGTAGAGGTTCGGCGAGCCATCGGGGAAGGCAAGATAGACGGTGCGAGAGGAGGTGTAATTTGTGGCCGCGCCGTTGGCGCTGCCGGCGGAGAGAGCGAGCTGGCTGTTGTAGGGCGAGTCGATGGCGAAGACGCGCAACAAGAGGACGGGATAGTCGCTGGGCCTGTAGAAATGGTAGTGGGCCTTTACGTCCGGGAGGACCTGGTCCTGCAGGTTTTGGAGAAAGGTCGAGGGGTGGAAGCGGGGTATCTGCAAGCTGGCCTCATCGACGGTGAGCGTCTCCTCGTCGGCGTCGTGCGTCGGGTGGGTGAGGGGCAGGATCTTGTAGGCCGTCCACTTCTGAGAGGCCGGGTGCTCGTCGAGGTAGGCAAAGTCGACCATGGCGAGCTGATAGAGGGTGAGGCCGTGGCGCCAGTCGCCCTCGAGGATACGACTGACGACGTCGCGCTTGGAGCCCCTCTGCTCCTGCATGTCAACGTAGAGCTGCTGCAGCTCGGCGATGGTGCGGCAGGGCGGGTAGAGATCGTCGCTGTCGGGCTCCTGGTCGGGCCCGCGGCGGTCGAGGTAGGGGACGGCATTGGCGACGGTGCCCTCGTCGAGCCAGTCGAGGGCCAGCGCGATGAGCGACTCGCGGGACAGCCGGTTCAGGCTCTTGATGACGACGAGGTTGGAGGGGTCGACGCGCAGCGACGAGGGCAGTCGGGCCGTCGTGGGGATGGAGAGTCGAGACATGGCCACGGGTGGAAGCCTCCCATAGCCGGAGCTGGGATATAACGACGGATGCAGATGTCAGACGCAGAGGATGGTGCGGCTAAAAAATCAAACTCAATTGGCGATGATTGGGTGGTGTTGGTGTTAATGTCTCAACAAGCGGTTAAGAGCTCGTGGCTGGAAGACGCGTCGCGCGACGCCACCAGATGAGGCTGCCTTTTGGGGGCAATTTTAGTGGATATTGCGCTGCAAGGCTGACACGAGGCGCTGTAAATCGACACGCTGCCCCTGGACTTGAACCGGCAACAGCTGTTAACCGCTCTAATTCGAACTCCGTCCACTTGCTGCTCCAACGACCTACCTACAACCGTCGTTCCTCCGATGAATAAAATGCCTGCAATCAGTTGGAGAACACAGGTCAAAGTTCTGGCCGGACTGTCGTTTAGAGGCATCGATGCGTCGTAGGATCCCGCACATCACCCACCACCATTAGAGCGGGATTCAACCCCACGCCAGGGACAACCTTTCCACATCAACATCTCCGCCATACCCTTTCTCAGTGTCATGACCGGCCCCGCGAACCCTCTCAAGCCCTCTCCGGCAAATAGAATATCCCAAACCCTCGGACAGTTCCATCTCCTCGAGTCGGTGCGCTAGCCCTGGCAAGCTCTCCAGTCTTCGGCTGCCACCTAGCTTCTCTGGACGACGCTCCGTCGTCTCGCAGAAATAGAAGTCGGCAGATATCCATTACTTCTCACGTCGGCCAGCCACGATAACGGGCTACATGATATCTTTGTGATAAAGCCGGCTACAGTTTCCGCCTGGCGTTGAAGTGGACAGTGACACAGGCCAACAACATCTGCCGGTGCCACAACCCGTCTCTGTGACTCTCTTCAAATGTGGCCAGCACAAGAGCTTGTCTCAGTAGTGCCTCAGAGCACATATTTCTCTGGATATGCTCCGATGCTAAGCATATTCGGCTCTCCATAGTGCCAAGCCGCGCTCTTCAAACAGAGTCCCGCTCCGACATGAGCAGATCGTCATGGGCAGATTGTCATGTCCGCATATTGCTGGCTGCTGGTCACCATATTCACAGCTCATGCCTTGATTGACAAGGCAGGGCCTTGATAACTCTATTCTGATGGACCTGAATTGAACAGCTTTTATCTCTTACCCAAGTCAATTAGTCTTTCCTATACGCGCAAATGGAACGGCACTGTCCGACGCTACTGTGCAATCGCCCCCTTGGCTATGGACACATAGGTTTCGAACGAGGACTTGAATGAGATTCTTCACATATGCCATAGCAGTGTGTTGTGAGAACTTTGAGAATGGTTGCATTGCAAGATTGGGTCGCAAGCTTTGCCATATCGGCTGGCCCAACACGCACGAAACGAGCAAAGGCGACAGTCTAACTTCCTCAGTCACGGCACGTATCCGTTATAGTGAAGTTTGGACATCTCTTCACCAATCGGAGAAGGAATTGCCCTCCCGCGGCTCACATGGACCTGCTCAAGCTCATAGCGTCCACTCCGGCCGTAAGCCCCATTAAGTAGGTTATACAGTGGCATTCGAGCATAAGCACAACTCTATCACAACTCTATCACGATTTCCAATATGCTTGCAACTCTTCGCTGTGTACGATGGGACACATAAGCAGCCACGATCATCACCTACGTGGCCCCGAACGTCGACATGCACATGTCGCGAGAGTGCACCAAATCACGGTCTACCAAGGTCCAGATTAATTGGCTTACGATAGATCAGCACTTGAAAGCAGTTGCCATAGAGCGCGAACTCAGGCATCCCAGATCGAGTAGTACTGATATGGGATCGGACACCTCTGCCAAGACGGCCTTGGCGATTTTGAGCAAGTCCCATCAAATATAACATCTCTCGGACGACTGATATTATCTTTCTCCAATATCTTGGCAGCGATCAGCCAGTTTGTATCCAATACGGCCAAAATGCCATTGCCAACGATGGAAGCTCTTTGGAGCAAAGCTGTATTGCAGCTGCTCCGAGCTTGCCGTCATTTCAAATACTATCTAGTCGCATTTCCAAGTATAAAAGCTTCAGTTGTGCCGTCTATCAAACAAAAACTCATCCATCAAGGTCAACCGTCTTGACGGCTTCTCAGTACTCTTATCAAGGCCTCTACCAAGTCGAACCCTTCTCGTCACCATGAGGTTCTTCACCCTCGCCGCCGCTCTTACCTCTGTGGCTACTGCTGCTCCCTCTGCTGCCCGCTCTGCCCTTGACGTCAAGATTGAATCGGCTGGTAACTCTGGTCAGGTCAAGGCCACCATTACCAACACTGGCAAGGACAACCTCCAGATTTTCAGGCATGGCACCATCTTTGATGATGCCCACACCGAAAAGGCTGCCATTGAGGCCAACGGTAAGACCAAACCCCACGATACATTTGCATGATGCGAAACTCTGCTGACATGCAATCTGCAGGCAGCAACGTCGACTTTCAAGGTCCCCCGTCTTCGCCTTAGCACCGATAATTTGACCGACTCCGACTTCCAGAAGATCGATGCTGGCTGGCCAGTCCGTCGAGGTCAGCTTCCACCTTATTGAGACACATGACTCTCCGCTGGCGGCAAATACTCCGTCTCCTCCACGCGGCAGCCGCGTCCTCGGCTACACTCAGCCCTCACGCAGCCTCCAGGTCTACTGCGACCTCTATTGGGACGACCTCCCCGCCATTACTAGCGGCTGCCACCGTCAGGACCAGTCCACTACCACCCTCCACGAGACCGCCCATCTGCGCGAGATCGCCGGCACCGCGGATAATTGCTACGGCTACGACAACATTCGCAAGCTGACCACGGCGCAGAGCCTGTACAACGCTGACAGCTACGATATGTTTGCCAGCGCCATATACTCTGGCTGCTAATTGTAATAATTCTTGGGATATGATCTGTACGAGACAAGGCGTGCGGGGCCAGTATGTACCCGAGGAAGCGAGTGTAAGAAGAACCAAAATTGAGTGCCGTGACCGAGGGTCTTGTACATGCAGTACATATTATCAATGAGATATGACACCCAAATACACGAACTGGAGCTCTACCGTGATCTAGGAGCTGCCTCGAGTAAGACTGTGCTCTTCTAATCACGTTGTTACTCTTTATGAGTGCGCGGCGCGGATGCCACCACAACGATAAAGCGTGTAAATTTCCATATTCATCAAGGGCTCGAGCCCCCGCATTTCATCATTCAATTCCATAAGAGTTAAAAAATCATGAAAAGACTAGCAGCAATCTCTCAAGAATGTTGTCCTCAGGGCAGGAAAAAGGCCTTATACGGAGGCACCGATGGCGTGATGGCGCCATCGCAACAAGAGGGCTGGAGGACAGGGGCCCCGTGCCATCCCGTCTCAGCTCGCTCCACAAAGGCCTGCATTTTTGAGTCCATGCAGAATTCTCAACCGAATTGCTTCGGCCTGGTTGATGCAGACCCGACTCTAACTTGTGGGGGGCCTTTGAGTTGGCTGCTGCACTCGTCGTGCATGGCGGTAACTACAGGAAACACACGGAAACAGACGGCTTATACGGAGTATAAACACATGTGATTTGTCCCTGTACGGCTGAGACGTTGAGCCGAACGAGGGAACTTGGTGTACTGGCCTTTGAACTGGATCGTAGCCGTTGCGGGTGTTGAGCGATACTATCTCGCGGCTGATGGCAAGGCGACTCAAAGGCGTCCGAGGTATTCCGAGCCATGTGGAAAACTTCCAATAATAAATGATACCCATGTGATAATGGAACACTGCGTATCATCCATGTATGTGTCTCACCTGGGATCTTTGTCTCAAGTTCTTCGCTCTTCACTTGAATGAGCAGCAGGCGAGATCTCTCGGAAGGTTTGGGAGGCAGTCGTCGGTCCATTGCTCCGGGGCGACAGTACTGTTAAGCTCAGAAGCTGAATGCTACTCGTCATTCCGTTCTTACTAGCTAAGTGACCAAAAATATATGTTATTAGCTGTATCTGCCAAGTTTCCCTCCACACATTAATTCAATAAGGGGTAACTTCAACTCCTCCATCGATAAGAACCTGAAATTTGACTGAGAGCAGAGCTTATCGCCTAGTTCCCTCAAGGCTCGGAACAGAAATGTATTTGAGATAGGACATCCCATAAGAAGTTGTGGACTGGATGAATTTTAAACATTGATGTTGGTGCTTCAGGGTTCTGCGAGTCACGCAGCAGATCGCTATGTAGCGTGGATCAAACCTGCAGTGCAGCCTGCCGTTGCAAAAAAATGCACGAGCTTTGACCCCAGCAATTCAGAGCGATTTGAGTACCAAAAAAAGTCTGTTTAAGAGCCGGGAAAATGTCGCTCGCAATTGTGACGGCCAACGGAGGCCGACGCCTAAAATCATTTCCGCTCAAGTAAAGCCAGATTCCATTTAGGCTGATAGAACATAATATTAGTCATGATCTTCGTCGCATTTGCGTCTCTGCTCACGTCAATGTGCAGTAGTCTTTTGAGTAACATATAATCCACTACTTGACACGCCTAACGATTAGTAGCATGACAAGTATGTAGACCAGGGATCGGATCTCAGAACTTCTCACAGGGCGAGCTGCGAGTGGTTACATCATCGCGTGGTTCCATCTACCGTTGTAGTGCAAAAAAAGAAGAAGAAAAAAAAAAAAAAGGGCCATCTTCATAATCAATAAGATTCGAGACGAAAGACCCTTGATGAGTTTCTAGATTGGCGTCATGCGCGCCAAAGCGGATTACATGTGGTTGCTTGGCCTCTGCATTGGGTTTGTAATCCATAGAAAAGTCGGCGCCAACCAACGTGGCTGTTTTCAAGGCACTGGACGTATAGGTGCGCTGGCTGACAATTACATTTCCGCTACCGCGCGGCTGCTTACAATATAAGCTTCAACCATCGGTGCTCGCGCTCTCATGGTAGATCCGTCTATTCTCAATCCGTCAATGGGGGCCCAATATAAAATACACAAGTTGTAGAACCTTTTTTTTTCTCTCATCAACAATTCCGAAGTACAGTGAAGTAGCTATTCTACCAATACATAAATTCACCATGCCAGTCCCAAAGCCGATTCTCATCTCGGGCGGCGGCCTCTCCTCTCTGCTCCTCGGCCAGTCCCTGCTACGCTCCAAAATTCCTTTCCAAATTTTTGAGCGCGACTCTTCCTTTATTTTTCGCGCCCAAGGGTACAGACTACGACTTTCCGCCGAAGGCCTCGACGCCGTGGAGTCGGTGCTCAGCCCCGAGCTGTGGGAGCACTTCTGGAGCAAGAGCGGCAAGACGGGCGGCTTGGGCTTCTCCGTACTCGACGCCGTTACCGGCGCGACCATTGAGGAGACGCTGACTGTCGGCGGCGGCCTGTCGTCGCGCGGCGGCAAAGTGGTTGGCATGGCGCGCGGCGACATGCGCCAAATATTTGCCCAGGGCCTCGAAGACCACATCCAGTGGAACAAAAAGGTGGCTGGCTACGAGCTGACTGCGGACGGCGTGCGCGCTGTCTTCCACGATGGGAGCAAGTCGGATGAGGGTGCCATGCTCATTGGTGGCGACGGCATCTATTCCAAGATTGCGCAGCAGGTATCGGGCGGCCGCCTCAAGACGTACGACACGGGCGCGCGCGGCATTCACGGACAGGCGCCAACGACGGCGTTCAAGGGCCTCGGCGAGGGCGTCTTTGCGCTGCGCGGGCCCGACGGCGTCGGCATCATTACCAACGTCCGGCCCGGCGAGATGGACGACGCCGGCGTCGAGTTTGGCTGGACCATGACGGCGCGGCCAGGCACCATCAACGCGCCCAACGACGACTACAGCATCGTCGGCTCCGTGGCCGCCTCCATCGCCAAGGACCTCACCAAGGACTGGCACCCGCGCTTCAGGGCGCTGGTGGAGCAGATGCGCGAAGAAGAGGCCGCGTTTTGGAAAATTACCTGCTCCACGCCCTCTGGCGTCCCGGAGTGGCCCAACGTGGCGAGGGTGACGGTCATTGGCGACGCCGCGCACAGCATGACGCCGGCGGGCGGGCTGGGTGCGAACACAGCATTGCGAGACTCGGCGTTGCTGGGCCGCCTGATTGGCGAGGCTGGGGGCTTCAAGGAGGGACTCACGGCAGCGTACGAAAAGGAGATGCGCGTGTACGGGAGCGAGGCAGTGGGCCAAAGTTACGGCCTGGCAAGCAGACAGTTTGGGATTCACATTGACGAGGATAAGACGAAGCTGGCTTCGTAGGTCCAATGATAGTACGACTTCCACTGCCTGTAACACTACTCCCTGCGCATGCCATTGATCTACATATCTTAGAACTCGACTCAATCTAAGCCAATAAGCGAAATTACCGAGACATTTCAAACTGTATCAGATTTGCGTAATTGTTCTGCAAGACCGAGTGACTAGTCGACTGAGCCCTTTGTTTCGACTGGCTCCTCGCAGTCCTCGGGCATGTGGCTGCTTTGTTACGGGGGCCCTAATATAAGCTTCGAGACAATGGAGCCGCTGGTCGGAAATTTAGGCCCAAGTTCCAGATATTCATCAATAGTCGGCTGCATCACGGCCGTAGTGTGCTGCAAGAAGCTGCCACGCTGCGTCGGATAGCTGTAAGTGGTAGTGCCGATGGATCACGTCATGATGGCGTTGCGACTGGACGGCAGCCATCGGCTTTTGGGGGGAGATGCGAACGATAATATCAGACGCAGGTCTACGGAGTAGAAGTACTCGAGCAGGAGGTTACGATCGTCTCATGTGGCCCTGCGTGCTTATGCCCAATTGGCGCGAGCTTTGGGACAACGGAAAAGAAGAGGAGCAAAATCGCAGCCAGCTTTTGGTAGCGGCACGTGCGCGGAGTCGAAGCGCCGCGAAGATGATTGGGATTGATTACACAAGCGGGCATTGGATTTGCCGGACCCTGCAGCTGAAGTGCATGCACAATGGAAAGCATGTGGGATGGCAGGGAAGGCGCGAGCAAGGATCCAGTGCAGTGGGGGCCAAAGATAAGGCCATGGAATGACGGTCGGACATGTGATTGGCTCCGATGCCTTCATGCATGCTGCTATTGGTATAACTTAAGCTCTGCCCCGCACATTCAGTAGTTTCCAAAACAGCTGGAGATCAATGATTTCTAAGCACCGCCTCTCAGCGGAACTGGCCTAGGAAACGGTCAGGCAAGGGTCCGAAGCCAGAAGGGTGAAGACGCCAGCGTTTAGTAGCGTTGCAGGTTTTATTTTTCTTTTTCTTGGGCGAGTCTGATGAATATCTTTGACTGCGTCAGGCTAGAGTGTCTCGGTCAGGGACTAGCTGTACAAGTCGTAAAGCGTGCTCGCTACGTTACAGCATGATTCACGCTGAAAGACCCACCGAGGAGCAATAAACCAAGGCGGCGGACTCCCACTGTGGCACCTGTTTGCGGGCTGAAGACTTCTTTGTGGCCACCGAAAGCGCCCCATTGCCCCCCAAAAAAGCCCTCGGCTATGACCACTGGCAAGTCTCGCGACCTGCCTGCAGCCACGGCGCCCGCAGGCAACTCGAACGTTATCGGAGCCCCTCGGCGAGCGAAAAAAATCCGCAAGACTCACGCAATATCCACCACGACGCCCCGCGTTATCTCTCCGCAAACCACCACGAACGCTTTTTCTTCATCATCACAGGCGACAAACGATATTGAATCTTCGACGACGTTGCTGCGACGGAAACACCTGCTGTCGTTTTTCTTTATTTCTACGCAAACGATACTGCGACCGACATCCCACTGCCCGGCGCAGCGCACAATCGCATCTCCACGGCCTTTTCGAATCTGCGACCGACAGCGTGATAGAGTCCTTCCATCACCAGAACCCAAATTCCATCATTAGAAGGTCATTCGAAAAATTACGAGCCTCTTGACGGACTCGATAAACGAAAACAAGACGAAAATGTCCAACTATAATGGCCGACACGGCCCCAATGTGGCAAACTACCTCCGCGACCTCAACACCATTTCTCCTCAGGAGGGCTCCGTCGACGAAAACTTCAACATTGAGGGCGACCTTGCTCTCTTCACAAACACCGAGTTTTTCGATTTCGAGACAGGGCAAAACACCGACTTCCAGGCCCAGCCTGTTAAAGAGGCTACCCATTCGACACCCTCGTCTGATGATGTGAGCGCTGCTCCCTCTGTCATGGGCGACATGCCCAACTTGGATTTCATCTCCAGTATGTACATTTCTTTTTGCGTCTTGTTCTACCTTGCGTCACCATTCAATTCCGTCCATGATCCTACCAGCCTCGTTTACCACACATTTACTGGCCTACCTGGGCTGTCTGCCAACCAAGGCTGTCTCCCAACCAAGGCTAGCGCGGGAGAGACCAAAACGATTCGCAGACCAGTTCAGCTTGACCCCTCCCTCGCATCAGCTTCTCCCACACTTACATCTGTGCCTCTGGCACAATACCCCCGCCTCTTTGCAAATTGCGACATGGCAGTTTGGCGCGCTGGAGTTGCAACAGTCAGCTGTCCTTACCAGCCTGTCAGGACTCTCGCTTCTGGTTCAAGTGGGGCAAGATCCAGGGAGCCTGGGGCTTACAAATGGTGGGACCGATGGTGCAATTCCTCGTGATGCCGGGGCCCCTCAGTCAACCTACCCTATCGGGACTGGGCTGCACGGCCTCGGTGCATCTAAGCAGATCGAGTGGTTGTTGATAAGGTTGTCATGTTGCTATAGGCTTTTCTTCTTGTCTCTCGGCCTGCTTATACTGATCATTCCCTTTTCACTTTCTTTTTGCTTTTTCTATCCTCGCAACTGCGGTGCTTGCTCTGCGGCACCACACAATGTTGAGCACCCTGTATCGCGGTTGACTAACACGGCCGCCGCCAATCATAGATGACTTTGCCTTCAACGAGTTCAACAACACATATGCGCCCCAGATGAACACCTTTGCCGAAGCCAACCACAACTTCCAGCCTCTGCAGCCCAACCATGGCGCCCAGATGCCTCACCCGAACGCCCAGTACCACGCTGCCGCTTCCCGCGCTGCGGAGGTCAAGCATAAGGGTGAGCCCATTGCCCCCCAGACACAGGCCCTGCACTTTGAGGAGGCCTCACGCGTTGCTGCCGAGGAGGACAAGCGCCGCCGCAACACGGCCGCTAGTGCCCGCTTCCGCATCAAGAAGAAGCAGCGCGAGCAGGCCCTCGAAAAGTCGGCCAAGGAAATGCAGACCAAGATGTCGGACCTCGAGAACAAGGTTTCGCAACTTGAGACGGAGAACAAGTGGCTGAAGAACCTGCTCGTTGAAAAGAATGAGGGCAACGAGGATATCTCAACTCTGTGGAAAGAGTTTACCAAGCAAGCCGGCAGCAAGCTCAACAAAGCCGCCCAGTCGAGTAGCGCCGTCGCCGCCAAGGAGGAACGGTAGTTTCTGGCCTTTTGTGTGTTTTGCAGCTGCTTGCTTGCCTACACACAATAGACACTGCTACAAAAGTTGGAATGCTTTGAACCTTTACTACAAGGATGAAAGCTGGCGTTGTTTTCTCGGGGGAGGGACATGTTACATGTTCGTCTCTTTACTTTGTCTTGTTTTTCTTTCTTCACTTGTTTCGATTACATATGGGAATGCTTGGTGGTTTTACGTTTATCGATGAGGCTTAGATCTCGTCGGCGCATAAGATGGGCCAGGCGGCAATTGGCAGGCAGCACAAGGACTGAGCAGCGGGCGGTCCGGGCTGTATAGACTGTGGGACAACTATGGCGATGGACTCTGGTTGGCAGTTGATGAACATGTCTAGATGACTACGTGTTGATGACTTTTTAAGTTGATTTAATCTCTACACACTTGATGTATACACCTGATGTATACATATTACAAACATGCGATATAACTATACTGTGATTTGAGTACTTTCGAAGAGGCAATGAAAGTAGTAAAGGGTCGAAAAATGTAAATCAAAGCGCTATGCTACTGTTCATGGGAATTGATGTCCGTCCTACCCTGTGTTCGTCCTGAACTGATGTCCTGACCTGATGCTCGCTCAACCCTGATGTCTGTCTACCTGAGGACATCTCACCCGACGTCTATGCTGCAATTGGCTTCTTCAACCTATGCATGCACGGTCGCTTCCATATGCTCTGCGCGTGCCAACATGACTATTCCGCCCCTCACATCCGGTGCCTATGCAATTTACTGCTCGCCGCCGCCGCCGCTTCCCTGCTCCTCTTCCTTTTGCTTCCTGAGCGCGTCCAGGCGCTTCTCGTTGCGCCTGCCCACCATGCGGACCGTCGTCTCGCGTTCCACGGCCGTCATCTCCTTCCAGTTGGCGATGCGCGCCACGGTGCCGTCGACGTTGACGACGAGCGGACCCAGAGCGGCGAGCTTGACCGTTGACCCCTCGCCGCTAACGTCGAGCGTGATGGGGTCGGAGCCGGCGGCGTCGCCCGGCGCGGGCAGGCCTTGCGGGTGTTGCGGGTGGTCGGCAGGGCCGTCTTTGGATGACGACGACGACGAAGAAGATGCGGCGCGGCTGGACGACATGGAAAAGGGGCGAGGTGTCGTGGCGAAGGCGTGGTGGTGGGAGACGGTGGATGCGGGATGGCGCAGGAGGTGGTGATGACGCAGAGAGTGCCGTGCGAACGCTATTAAGGCGGTGCGGGGCATTGGAGGGATGCTGCTTTGGTTTTGCACGGGGCAATTGGAGAATGGGTCGATGATGGCGCAGTGTGTGTTGTGATGCTCGGGGCTGTTGTGCTTCAAGAGAGTCGACGGATGAGGCTGTTGATGGAGCAAGTCATTTTTTTCTGACAGGGCTTGGCGATTTTGGCTCCAGCGTGGGTTAGGTGTCTCGATGCGCCCTCGGCAGCCAGGGTCCGAGACAGGTGGCGGCGGCGCGACATTTGAGGTTGCCCCAGCACATGGCGTGTAAATGTAAGTATTTGCAAGTCTACACGGGTTGAAAAATTGGTATTAGTATGGTGTTGCCGAATATATTGCTCTCCGATTCGAATGTACAAGGCGACTCTTACTGCCCTGCCCGCCTTGCAGCGCCGTCATTCATCCGATGGCTTCGGTGAGACTTGCATGATGGGCTTCTGTGGAGCAAAAGCCCATGGGGATGGAGGGCCCTGCAGGCGGCTGCAGATTTTCTGCAAAATAATCCACGGAAATTGCAACAAGTGCTGTGCAACAGTGTGGTTTCTTGTTTTTCCGAGGCGGGAGCGCCATGGCAGGTATGCGTTGTTTGTTTGTACGGAGAAGCTGCGTCAAGCCATTTGCGTCATAACAGAGTGCGCAAGGGACAACAACAAAACGTCCGCGTTTGGAGGTCTTTTGTGTACTGTCTTGTTTGCCAGGCCGTATTGAAGGTTAATGCCTCAAGCAATCACCAGCTTGACCAATTTCCGGATTGGCCCGACACGGGCATCGAGAGCATGTTATATAGTTGGCCCCTTTTTGATGAAGCGTGGAAGGAATTAATACTCGTCCGGAGTCGCCGTGGATGCATCTCCAAGCTCAAGGGACCGGCCCGCGGATTGGCGATCACCATTGTCATGCAGCTAGGCTGCTAGGTTATTTGGGGAAACAATATTCGTATTTCTCTCCGAGTCATTGCCTTGTTGTTCCAGTGTCTGATGAAAGTGTATTGCGAGCTTTGGTTGGTGAGTTGGTAGGCGGCGTACTCTGTGGTATTCGCTCACCCCCATTTCATCCTCTTGGCCCGCCCCTCTCTCTCTTGTGTTCGATGGATCCCGGCTGTCCAACACGACCCCAGCATTGGCGTGTGCCGCATTTCCGAAGCTCCTTGGGTGATGTAGAGTGTGGCATGATGACAACTGGTTGTTTTGCAGGCGCACATGTGTGTGTAAGAGGGAGGGCGGAGTGCTGCGGCTGTCAATGCATGGGAGAGATGACGAGGGGCAACACTGACTGGTTGGTCGTTGGCAGCTGGCAACAATTCACGTTTGGAGTCACTCTCTTTTTCTTTTGTGAGGGGTCCAAGGTGGAATGGACCTCGCAGCTGGCAGCCCCAATAAAATAAAAAAAGACCGACCGCCCTCTCAAAGTAGACGTTCGACCCTCATCAGCGCTTCGTTTTTTTCCTGACTCGACTCCTCTTCTTCTCCCTCCATTAATTCTCTGCTCTTCTTCGTCGTTGCATGCGAGCCCATCTTGCAGCATCATACCTTTTGTTTCTGTCATCTCTTCGAATAGCCGAATTGTCGCGTCTCAACACGCATCTCGCATCGTCAAACAGCTTCAGACACCCATACCACTGTCACCATGTTTAGCGGCCGCAAGTTTTCTTTTAACCGCCACACCGGCGCTCCAAAGCCCATGGCCAGACGCTTTTCCAACGCTGAGCCCGGGTCCAACGGTACGTTGTTCTAGAAATCCGAAAAATCGCTCATTCCTGCCGCTGCCCAGCCTAAAAAGGTCCCTTGCCTCACCTGCGCCGACGAGCTAGTTACCCCGCCAAACTCTTACACAGCTCTGTCGCAGCCAACGCCAACGACAACGCCACCGATGAGATTCAATACGAGGCAGCCACCGACAATCTCTGATACCCAGCTCCCATTTAATGTCACACCTCGAACGTGTACTAATCTCCCTTCCCGACAGAGGTCCAATCCAAAGTCCACCGCCAGTTCCGCAATGCCCACGAAGGCCACATGCCCCATGCCGGCCTCGACGCCAGCCGCGCGTCCACCGGCGTCGTCTGGTGCACGGAGCGCGCCTGCGAGTACGGCTTCATGGAAAACCCCGAGGAATGGGCCAACCTCGGCCAGGGCGCCCCCGAAGTCGAAGACGACATTGCCGGCTGTTTCCCCCGCCCCAACACCATTGACATTTCCATGGCCGCCCGGGAGTACGGCCCCACCGCCGGCATCAAACCCCTCCGCGAGGCCGTGGCCAACCTCTACAACGAGGCGCACCGCAAGGGCAAGGAGAGCCAGTACACCTGGGAGAATGTAGCTATTGTCCCCGGTGGCCGCGCCGGTCTGATTCGCATCGCCGCCGTCCTAGGCACGTCGTATCTGTCCTTTTTCCTGCCCGACTACACGGCTTACAATGAAATGCTGAGCCTATTCAAAAATGTAGGCTAGGCGTCGATCTACACTTTGCCCTCTTCTTAGGGGAAAGAAGCTTACATGCATAGTTTGCTGCCATTCCCGTACCCCTCTCCGAAGAAGATGGCTACCACATCCACCCCGACAAGATTGCCGAGGAAATCTCCCGCGGTACCTCTGTCATCCTTACCTCCAACCCCCGAAACCCGACCGGTCGCGTCGTTGCCAATCCCGAGTTGGCCGAGATTCAGGATATCTGCCGTGGCCGCGCCACCTTTATCAGCGACGAGTTTTACTCTGGCTACAACTACACCAGCAACTGCGACGGAACCACCATCTCTGCCGCCGAGAATGTCGAAGACGTCGACGAAGACGATGTCTTGATCATTGATGGCCTTACCAAGCGATTCCGACTTCCTGGTTGGAGAATTGCTTGGATTCTTGGCCCCAAGGGTATGTATAGCGTCATGTCTAGTCAGAGCATCCGCTAACAGATGACAGAATATATCAGCGCGTCGGTGACTTGAGCATCCACACTGCTTGCCTGGTACTAACTCTTTCTAGGATTGGTTCCTGCGGTAGCTACCTCGACGGTGGTGCCAACCATGCCTTCCAAGAGGCGGCTGTGCAATTCCTCGAGCCCAAGCTTGTCCAGGAGGAAATGGTTCACCTGCAGCGTCACTTCCGTGACAAGCGCGACTTTGTCGTCAAGCGCCTCCGCGAAATGGGCTTCGTCATCAAATACGTCCCAGACTCTACCTTTTACCTGTATGTGCCTTTGACACCTCTAGAATCAATAGTGTATGTTAACGGGCGCAGCTGGCTGAACCTCGAGGGGTTGCCCGAGGCCATCTCTGACGGCCTCAACTTTTTCCAGGCCTGTTTGGAGGAAAAGGTCATTGTGGTGCCAGGCATCTTTTTCGACTTGAACCCGTCGCGTCGTCGCGACCTGTTTGACTCGCCCTGCCACCACTTTGTGCGGTTTTCGTATGGTCCTAGGATGGACGTCCTCACCAAGGGCCTCGACCGCATCGAAAAAGTGGTCAACAAGTACGTTTTACATCCTTGAAGAGTTCTTGAAAAAGCGTCATTGAAAAGTGTACATGAAAAGTGTACTTGTCTTTGTGTCTGCTAACAAGTAGCGTGCAGGTTCAAGAAGCAGGCTTCGTCTTAGACGAGATGACGGCGTAGATGGTGTTGAAATGCACAGCCCACCATGGAATCATGGACAAATGAGCACATGTTTTGAGTATAAACGACTCTAAATCACGCTAGCGTATTCCAACAAACAAAACTGGGATCAAATGTTGTCAAAATGTGAGCCTTGGCGCCTGCCGGAAGTGTCAAAAACATCGCCCGACCCGGGAGAAACTGACTTGTCTCTGCTGCGCATGCCGGCTGCAAACGAGGCGGAAATAGCGGCAGACTGTAGGAAATCTCAAGGAGCACTAAAATTTGTTCTAGAACAAAGGGGCAAGATCTAGTATTCTCCACTTGAACGCGCAAGGCACACTAATGGAGAAATCGGATGCATCATGATCTATGGCTATGCAAAAGCCTGGGTGGCTGTGCAAGTATTCATTGCCATGGGGCGTTCCGTCAGGGCCTGTTTGGTGGCCGCCTTGGGCGACCAGGCAAAAGTTTCCCTAATAATGACATGTGAATGGACCAGCACATCAACGTACTTTTGCTGCCTGCATGGCCATGTCTCATTAACTGTGTGTGCCTGTGTTGACTTTTTTTTTTCTGCCTCTCCCACAAGGCGTGCGTGCGTCGGGCGCGTAGGCAGAGGCTGTGACATGTCGTCGTGTAAAGTTACACACGGGTAAGGCCCCAAGGCTGCTGCCGGCTGCGTGAATGCCTAGTTTGTGATATATATAAAGAACTTCTTCGTCTGTACAAAGCACGAATTTGTTGTAAAAAGACTTGAGAGTAACCAACTTGGACCGTTTCGACACACTACATCTCAGCATTCAAGATCCTACTTATATAAACCTCGTTCAGAAACTCATCAGCATGGCCTCCAAGCTCAAGTCTCTCTACGCGTTTGCACGGAACCGTGGTAAGTGAAAACGCTTCTTTACTGTCCCTCATTTCGTCTTTTTTCTTCCTTTTTTTTTTTGGAAGAATAATGCCAACCTCGCCACAGCTTCTCAGGAGACCAACGATCCTCCTCCGGCTTACACGCCCACCGCCGCTACCTCTTCCAAGCCCGCCATCGCTCCCTCTCCCGAGCCCAACGCCGCTCCCTCATCCTCCTTCACGCCCACGACCACGGCTGCCGCTGCCGGCGCTTCAACCGACGATGACGACCCCTTTGCCTTCCTCTGCGCCTTTGACACCGTCTTCCTCATCGACGACTCCTCTTCCATGAACGGCCGCGCCGGCTACTACTCCCCGTCCTCGCCCTGTTTCTCCTCGTGCTGGGACGAAGTCGCCGACGTTCTCCGCGCCATTGTGCCCATTTGCACCGCGCGCGACGCCGACGGCATCGACCTCTACTTTCTCAACCACCGCTCTCGCTCACCTTCCGCTATTTACTCGCCACCATCCGGCAAAGCCGGCGGCGGCTACTACAACATTCGCTCCGCCGCCGAGGTCTCTTCCATATTTCAGAGCGTGGTTCCTTGCGGCACTACGCCCACCGGGGAGCGCCTCGAGGAAATTATCAGGCCGTACCTCAAGGGTTTGGAAAAATCGGCGGCGAAGCAACAGTCGAAAACGTCTTCTTCTTCTTCTTCCGCCGCCGCTGGAGGGGGAGAAGCTGCCAGGAAGAACAAGAAGGAGAATAAGAAGCCCATGAACTTGATTGTGATTACGGATGGCAGGCCGACTGATGACCCTACGGGCGTGCTCGTCGACGCCGCGTCGAGGTTGGTCGCGGCGCGCGCGCCGGTGGCGCAGCTCGGCGTGCAGTTCTTCCAGGTCGGCCGGGACGCGGGCGCGCGGGCGGCGCTGCAGGAGCTTGATGATGGGCTGATCAAGTACTCAGGCAGGGATATTGTGGACTGCGTGACGTGGGACGACGAGCGCGCCGGCAGGGGCGTGCTCACGGCCGAGGGCATCCTCAAGGCGGTGCTGGGGGCGGTGTCGAGGAGGCTCGACTGGAAGACCTTGGCTTGGAGTAGGCCAACGGTGACGAAGAAGCATTGGAATTTCTAATTTTTTTTATTTTTTTCGAATGGCTCTGCTTTCATCTGTGCCAGTTGTTTCTGGTCGCTTGGGCTGCTGGCGTTGAGCTCTCGCTTCTCTTTAATACTTGATCAGACTGGCCCAAATACCTGAGATCTCTTTTGTTCGCTGAAAAAGTATCGTAGCTAATATCTAAACTTTATCCCTTTTCGTCTCTTGTGGGTTGCGAATTCGTTCTTGTGCGTCTTTCTTTTGTACTCCATGAAAATCTGTTTCATAAACCATTCTGCCCATTCTGGCAAATCTTGCAAGACTCTTTTTGCACCCGAAATATATGTCTCTTGGCAGCAAAGCCCAGCTCTCTTCCCAATCAGCTCCAAAAAAACAGTTATTCTTTTACATAAGAATAGTTGCATAACTGTGTTTGTTTTTTTTGCAAAAACTTGTGTGAAATAACCGAAAGCCGTTTTTGTTTTGTAAACCAATAAAGAGACCAATAAGAAAAGAAGGCAAAAAGAAAAAAACACCTGTAAAAGAAACTATAAGCCTTCTGACCAACGTAATCAGTGCGCCGCCTGCATACGACCGGCCTAGTGCATGCAAAACACATCAGCCAAAGACACCGAGTGCGCCGAAATGTTGGTGCCCGTGTCGTTGCGGCATGTAATCACCGGCGTCGTGACGAGCGCGACGCGCCAGTGCTTGGCCTGCAGCTCAAAGGGGTCCATGCGCGGCCAGATGGGCAGCATGGACTGGCTTGAGAAGCGGCTGCCAATCTCGGGAAACCGAAAGTCAAACGTGAGCCGGGACGTGAGGATGCGCGACGACAGCGCCCACGCATGCTGGGCGACCTGCGCCATGTCGCGGTAGGCGTCGGCCGGGTTGGCCAGCCGGTTGAGCAGCGGCTGCAGGTTGGCGAGGAGCGTGCTCGCCATCTCGTCCACCTTTGCCTTGTGGAAAGACGAGTCGTGCTCTCGCGCCAGAATGGCGTCGATAATGGCCGCCTGCCTGTCGAGGAGCGGCTGACGGAAAGCGGACGGCTGGCCTATCACGCGGGAGGTGAATCATGTCAGCGAGTGACGAAAGGGGTGAAGTAGGGGCCAAATTTAAAACGATGAAAAGGGAAAAAAAAGGAAAAAGAAAAGACGCAGACAAAACTCACCCAGCATTCTCTCCATGTCCCGTTCCAGCTCCATGAGCGCATACGTCGACTCGTCGTCCGCGCCGCTCCACGCCGCTGGCGTCCAAACACGATTCACAATGTAGTCAATCATGACGCGAGTGACGAGGCACGCTTTCGAATTTTCGTTGCGCAAGTGGTACTCGAGGTACGACGCCGCCTCGGCGCTCGACAGCGGGTGGTACGTCGCCAGCAGGATGGGCCAGAGCCCCGTCGAGCTCATCTTCATCGACGACGCGTGGTCGGGCTGGCTCGCGTGGCGCTCGACAAACGCCCGGATCACGGCGTAAAAATCCATGATACCCTCATGCCAGGCCGCCACCGACCGCTCATTCATGTGCACCAGCGGTGCGATGAACGACGACGGTGCTGGCGCCGGGACCAGGCTGCTACTGCTACTGCGATTCATCATGGCGGCGTTGTGGTTGTTACTGATGGGATTGCTGCTGCTGTTTCCGACTAGGCTTACGCCGCCTCCGGGGGTATCGGAGCCGGCAGACGGAGGCGCTTCCTGGAGGCGGCCGTAGCGGCCGCGCGAGGCAGCGGTCGGTGTGCGTGGGTAGTAGTCGCGCGAATTGTTGTTATTGCCATTGCTCGAGGCAGCAGAACTGGCAGCAGCAGCAGCACCGTTGCCAAAGGACGTGGACGCATGACGGCATCCGCCGCCGTTGTTCCCATGATCACCAGACGACGGATTCCAGGGATAGAACTCGGCGGCACCGGGACTGAAGTGGGAGCTGTTCCCGCCCTGCGCCGCTTTGCGACCGACGGAGCCGCCGCGACTAAACGACGACAGCGTAAAGCTGCTCGCTCCGCTGCTCATGGAAGAGGACGCGCCACGGGATGTGGTCGCAGACATTGGTGGCGGCTGGTCCCATGCGGCCGAGGCCAAGGCGGGGTTGTTGTTGCCTCGACGAGAAGCATACGGCGCGGTAGAAGGCGGACGAGGAGGACCACTCGCGCCTCGCAGACTGCCAATGGGCGGCTGTGCAGGTGGCCTCGAATAGAAGTCGGGCGAGGTCATGCCGTGATCCATATCGCTGGGCCGGCTGTAGTCCTGGCGTGTATCTCCAGCGGCCCCATGACTGCTACTGTTGGCGCGGTTGATGGTCTGCCGAAGTGAGATGAGCGCGCTTTGGGCGACAGGAAAGCCGTCTGCGGAGTCGCGAAGCGTCTCGATGGCGCGAGCGAGCGACTGCTCGTCAGGGTGCTTCATGACCCAGAGGGAGCGGCGTCCATTCACTTGCTCTTCCAGATGTCTATTCGTCTCTTTGAGAGCCTGTCAACCTGTTAGCTTATCACGAGTATCTTAGTGAGATGTGCAGTCTGACCTTGATCAGCTCGTCCACGTCTCCATTGCCTTGACGATTTCTGCTGCTGTCCGAGATCTGCTCGTCACCCTGGCCAACCGAAGTCTTTCTTCCCATCTCCTCCCTCAGCTGCGCCTCCAACTGCTGAATCGTGTTATTTTGTTCGTCAATCTTGGCTTTCGCAATGTTGGCCTCGATGCCCATGCGCGCGACCGCCTTGTCCGTGTCCTCTTGGTCCAGCGTCAGGTTCATCACGGCGTCGACGAGGTCGCTCGTCTCGCGGCTCACGATTTGCCCAATCTCCTGCAGCTGCAGGACAATCTCCGACGACTCGGCCGACGACACGCCTGGCATGCGGCGTAACGACTGCTGAATCTTGACTAGAACCTGCTGCATAGAGCGCGACTTTTCAAACGCAGCCTGCAACAAGAGTCAGAAACCAGTAGTCACAACAAAGACGCTCGTGGATCAACTCACATGGTTTTTGGACATTTGTTTTATCTTCTCAGCGCGCGCCGGACCGGCAAGCGGCGTGGAAAAGTTCATCGAGAGCATACTGTCAATAGAGTCTCGCTCCTCAATGTCAGCACCAACTTGTGAGGCCGGCTTCACCATGCCCCCGTCGACTCGCGGTTCGTATTCTGAGCCGATGGTTGTTGACTCGGCCACGCTCATAGTGCCGCTGCTATTGATCGCCAGACGATGCACAGACGGGGCTGGAGCTGAAGAGTGTTTTCTTTACACGGGCGAGGGAGAGCAAAAGTCTGCTTTCATCTTCAGCGAGGACGATAGTTGTACGTTGAATTGATCCAATCCAACAGCTGGTGAAGAGTGTCGAAAGAATGCGTAAATGAGAGAACTGATTATTTCGGAATGCTAATGTGATTGCATTGACTCTGCACATGCCCCGTTTGATGGGAGGGTGGAAGCTGGGTGACGAGAAAAGGCGTGAAAACGGAGCAGAAATTTCCTTCATGTGAAAGGGAGCGAAGCGAGTCATCCTCCAATAGATAGGAATACTGCAAGGCTAAGTGAATGTGGCCTGTGCCAAGTGAGAGTGAAACGCAGTAGAATGTGAGCATCAAAATAGTCAAAGCCGCGGGAAGGCAAACGGGGCTAGCAATTGCTTCCGTCACTGTCACTTTCAGACTAGCCAGCTACCATATGTAACAGAGCTTACAACCACTGGGCGGATGAAAGGTTGGTCGAGGTGCACTATATGGTCTCTAACCACTTACTGATGTCAAGAGCACCGCAAATAAAGACAGCACGTAAAACTGGACCATGTATATATGCTAATAACAATCAATTATCCTCTAAATACCGGGCAGGGCAGGGCATGGCAGGGCAGGCAGGGCAGACGCATCCAATCGAGAAACTTTTAACCATCCTAGGCACATAGATCAGTATGGGAGACAAGGACGAGGCAAATGCAAAACCTGTGTGCTCGAGCTGATGTGGGAGCGAATCCAGAAGTCGAAAACGAGGAGGGCATGCCGTCGCGGGCCTCCTTTTGCCGGGTCCTATAGCAAGATGTGAATGTCGATGAGCGCACAATTAGCATCTAGAAAGCTCTGGTGCGAGAGAACAAACTGCTGTAGACTGCGTCTACAACAGGAGACGCGTCAATCATGCGCCCGCCAAAGTATCGGCCGTTGAGGCCGCGGATCGCGTTCTCACCCCCCTGGACCTTTTCAAACTTCAGGTAGATGTCACCCTTGGAGTTTGGGTCCACGGAGATGTGCACAACACGGCCGTATTTGTCTTCGGCCTCCTGGCGCACGTCGTCCTCGAGTTCTTTGACCCAGTCGTCGCCTTCCTCCCTATTGCGTGTGTTAGTCATGGTCATTTATCACATATATGGTAATAGCATACTCATCGGGATTGAACATGTTGTGAAGGACAACACAGCGGCTGGCTGTGTTGACATTCACGGGCAGAGGCTTCTTCTCGGTTCTAGGTTTCAGCACCGGCCTCTCTTCAGAGCCCTTGTTCGATTCGTCGGTTCTGGCAAGCTTGCGCATCAGGGCATCGCGACTATAATTATTAAAGTTTACCCCGCCGACATCCGTGTCGTCCAGGGCGCTGGCACCACCCGTCTTTTCGCTATCTCTGGCGCCGGCTCGGTCAAAGTTAGAGTTTTGTCCTCCGCGACCACCGGATCCGGAAAAGGAGGAACCCTGCTGATTCGACGAGTTCTGACCCGAAAATCTCTGTAACATATTGGCAGTGCTCTCAGGGGTAAACTTATCGTTGCCGAGGCCAACTCGGATAGGACGACCGGCCAAATCAAAGCCATTCATCTTTTCCAAGGCCTCACGAGCCTGGGTTGCATCACGGAACCTGCATGGCGGTTAGCGACTGTATACTTTCCAATCATGGAGGTATGCGAACGTACTGTACAAAGCCATAGCCACGGCTGCGATCGCTCTCATCCTTTTGAAGTTGAACGAATTCAAGCTCTCCAAAGGGCTCGAAAACGGCCCGTAAATCTTCCTCGGTCACGTTGAAGTGTATGTTACCGACATACAAGCGATGGAAGGGAACGTGGTTTGGGTGGGGGCCGCCGGCTTCCGTATTGCGGGCTTGACGATTCTTCTCTGCTTCCGTTACCTGAACGATGACAGGAATACCTAACAGTTTTTGTCCGGTGAGTTGGAGGGCGGTGGCGACCGAGTCTTCGTCTTTGAACTCGACATAGCCAACACTGTAACCCGTCAGTACCTTGATTGCTGCATTAATTGAAGTGGCAACTTACCCCTTTGATCGCCCGCTGATGCGATCTTTGACGATCTGTGCTTCCGTGACAGGACCAACTTTCTCAAAGAACTCTTTCAACTCACGAGTTCGCAGCCGAGCGGCAAGTTGCTGTACGAATACTGTCCTTCTGTCCCTTTCATCCTCAGTTAATTGAGGCGTAGCGTCCCGTCTATCGCGTGGATCGTCATCCCGGCTTCGGCCGTGATGGCGATCGCGACGATCTCTGTCGCGATCATCCCGGCGGTGACGGCGCGGTGAACGTGAACGCGAGCGGGCTCGACCACTGCGGTAGTAGTCGCCATCTCGAGTGCGTCGTGAACGGCGGTCATCATCACGACTTCGGCTACGGCGGCGGCTCCGGTGGCTCCCCGAGTCACTGCGGGGCGTACCATCATCCGGAGTGTCTCGTCGACTTTTGTTCAGCGGGCTGGCATCGCGGCGATCTCCGCGTCGGCGGTCGTAGTCCCGGTCACGATCCCGGTCCCGGTCACGATCACGGTCTCGATCGCGGCCAGAATCTCTGCGGCCGGACCGGTCACTTCTGGATGCATCTTCAGCGGATGGCTTAGCCTGTGTCTCTTCTGCGCTTTTCGCAGTGGCGTCGAGTAAGGCTTCCACGTCTAGGCTGGCCATTTTCGTTGTCGATAGTCGGCTAAAACAAGTCCGACACAAGCATACAGAACCACGATCTAATGATGTTATCGATGCGATCAAGATGGTGATTAAATAGGTGGTCGGGCGACACAGGCGGCGAAATCTGGGTCGGGCGAAGGTCACGTGAACACGCGCCAGTGTCTCATTTTTCGCTGTCGACCGCCGAGAGAGGCAAGCAGCCACAGAAAAAGAGGCGGGGCTAGGAGGTGTAGGCCATCTGTACTACGAAATACCAATGATTGGAGATTGGATGAGATGCAGGTGCCGCGAACAGGAGGAGCAGGTACGACAAGTAAATAGATTTATGCGGCTGCAGAGGTGTAGCCAATGCCGATAATACGAGGAATGATCAAACAGTACTACTAATAATACGAAGATCATCAGACAGTGCTACAAATATTATGAAGACTGGTCAAACAGTGCTACCAATAATGGGTACAATGATCAAACAGTACTACCAGTAATAGGGGAGGATGACCAAACAGGTAATACCAAGAGATGGAGTGATGCGACTGAGGCACAAGTACCAAGACAAGATCAGACAAATATTACCTAGGAAGAAAATTATCAATTTAAGATTGTATTGAAGTTACATTATTATTCGAAGAGAAGTCGTTCATTCGCATCTCTGAGCGCTGTTAATCATTTCGTAGGTTCTCAAATCCCTGCCCAGCAGCCACACTTGTCCGTCCGCTTGCTCCTATGCCTCGTACCCGTAGATTCCAATTCCGTTCACTTTGTCTGTATGGAAGTAGTGAGCTCAGTTCCGAAAATCTTGTCCCAAAACTTGCTGGTGACACCGAATCCAAGCTCGTAGTCAAGAAAGTGATGTTGAAGGTGATACTTCTTGAGCTGCTTGTACCACAGAGGGAGGTCCTCATGGTGAAGGAAGTAGTGAGTGAGATCGTAGCAGATGTATCCGAAGATACCGCCACAGAACACAGCAGTAGCAGCATACCAGCTATGCGAGAACACGGCATGTGACAATTTCCAGAATGGGGTTGCAAGGACGACCAGTAGAGTCGGCGGCATGACTAGACGATACTTGTCCATGGGTAGGTAGTGGTGGATGCCGTGCAGCAGAAAGTGCAAGGTGATGAAGACGCGATTGTCAGGGAGATAGCTGCAAGACATTAGTAAGGTATCCACACATAGAATGTTGCCATGATACATACCCATCAAGATGGAAGAGGAAGCGGTGCAGGAAGTATTCAATGAATGTCCAGAGAAAGACGCCAAATACCCAATGTCCAGCAACATGCAGGACCGGAAGGCCTTCGGCTGCCTTGTGAAGTCCGTAGGCAACAAAAGGCAACCAAAGTGACGGGACAACCCACCATGCCGTCTTGGTGAGAGGTTCTAGAAAGTTTCCGAACAAGGGAGCCGAGTCGCCACCCTTGTAATGACGCGGACGATGAACTTGATCGAGATAGAAGTCCTTGCTGAAGCCGCCAAACCAGATTTGGGGAAACAGAGGCTTGCTTAGATCCAAGAACTTGTGCTTTTTATAGTCGAGGCTGACATCGGTATCTTTGCTGAGATCTTCGGCGCAAGACATGCCGGTACGAGGATGGACGTATGGACCGTCCTTGTCGGCAATGGCGGATCCGTTAACATGGCCGTTGGGGGTGCCCTTTTCGTTTACGAAGCCAACAAGTGAGTCGTCCAAGACTTCGTAGGCAGCTTCGGAGTGTGGATGGGAGGCTGGATCCTTCAGGATGTCGCCAATGTCCTTGCCTGCGTATTCGAGCACAAGGCTGCTGCCACCGGGGTGATCGTCGATGAAGTCGGTCACATCGTAGACATTGTTGCCTATTGTAACATAGCAGGAATCGACGGAGCTATGCGACTCAACCTGAGCTCGCGAAAAGGTAGGAAGTGTTCTGGCTGGCATCTTGGAGATCGGGTATTCGGGAATGCTACCGGGCAGGTCGGGTATCTGCGTAGGAGTCGCGACAGTGACAGCGATGCGCTCCAGCTGTCGCTGTTGGCCAAGGAAGCAATCGAACAGCACAAAATGGTGTAAATCGACAATCGGGGAACGAAAGTAGGGAAAACTTATGCGCACTGAGAAAATATGTAGTGAGAGGAGGAGAGTTTTAGGATTGGGAGTGGTAGTTGCTAAAATTGAGATGCGAATAGTTAGTGGCCGGGGCCCCTTAGCTAATCGCCGGTGCTTGCGGATGCCGAAGAGTGTTTGATGGCGTTACTTTTTATTTTCCGCCTGCCAGAGTCATGCCAGTTGCGACCGACCCACCGCCCTTATTATTTCAGAGGCAGGGTGGACGCTACAGCGCATTTCTCATTGGACTGCTTTCCTCTGAAGGGGCGCTGTAGGAGTTTTCCTCGGCGCATTTGCACCTGCAACCTCACCATTTCAGCCACTCCGGTCGGGTGTTTGTGGTCCAAATCGCCCCGAGCTTCCGCGAGGCGTTGCAGCATGAAAATTCGATGCACGGCTCGGGTATTAAGAATATGGAAAACAAGCATGAGAGTCCTGGCCATTTGTGTGAAGCGCAGCCTGGCTTTCTCATGTCAGCATGATGTTCAGCAAAGTACGGTGCAACGTCCAACTTGCGAGTCGGGGTACCTACGAATATAGGGGTTTTTGTGACAAAAGTAAGTCAAAACTTGAAGTTGCATGAGGCTGTAGGGAATCCGCCCGTCGAACCGCCACTTCAAACTCAAACATCATCATTTCTGTCCTCATAAATACAAGTTGCAGAATAACTAGTAAATCTGCCATCTTCTCACCTGCAAGCCACAATGCTACGCCATTCCTTAACTTGCGCAGGTTGGCAGGCAGTGGCGCAAGCTGGGGCTGGAGCACTGCGTGGGCTCCCTCACAAGCCTCACATCTTGTGCCTCTTCAGACGAGCTTCTTTCAACCCCACCTCCCACCTCCACGCATCCCTGCGAACCTTTTACGCGCGGCTTGGTCGACACAATACTCATCCAAGTCATCTCGCACAATACATTATTGAATCTCATTTCACCTTCGGTATTGCCACTTCAATAGCCTCTTACTTGACTGACAACAACTCGACTTGACGAATAAACCCCGCCATGCCGTCACTCATGATTTCGCGGGGTACCTTTACCCTGCTGGTGGCCGTCATCTGTTTGGCCTACCTGCCTAGCAAGGTCGCCGCTTTTGGTGCAGGCAATATTCCCTCTATTGCGCAGGTACGCCGGCACTTTACAAGCACTAAATTGCAATATACCTAATCCAGCGCAGGTAGAAGGCTTCAACTGGCGACATGGAGGTTCGTTGAGCCCCGCACTCACACGTCGCGACAAGGCAAGGAGCTAACCGAGGCCAGATATCGAGGACATGCTCACGAGTCTTGCGTTTTTGCACGGTAAAAAATGGAGTTCCATGAATGTCAAGCGTGTCTACTTTGGCAACTGGCTGCGCGATTATTCCCAGGCCGTCGACGTCGGCAGTCTGAAGGGCGTCAACGGTGCCACCATTCGCATCCTTGTAGTCTCACTCCACCCACCCTTTCGCACAATATAGATCTAACATGACTTCTTAGGTCTGGGTCCTTTCCTTCATGGCCCACGGATATGCCACCGACGAGTTTGAAGTTACCGAGGAGCGCCTCGGCTGCTACCGACCCGAAGAGCACATTGACAATCCTCTCGGCTATGCTGAAGGCGTTGACGCTCGCACGCTGGACCCGCGCCTGAGAGGACCTGTTCGACCCGTCGAAACCGAAATTGATATGGAGACTGGCATGAAAAACTACATCAAGAACGAGAAAGGCGACTGGGCGACCAGCGCTGGCTATTTGCGCTTCAGCATCGCACGCTGTATTCACTTCGGCCGCATTTACACCAATGGCGACAAGGGCAAGGGAAAGGAAGAGAACCTCTGCGAGGCTCTGCGATGCATGGGTCAGGCTTTGCACTGTCTAGAAGACTACAGTGCTCATAGCAACTATTGCGAGCTTTCTCTTCGAGAACTAGGTTATCACAATGTTTTTCCTCATTGTGGTAACCAATCCGAGATCAATGTTCGCGGCAAGAGAATATATCCCATTGTCACTGGAACATTCGGTGGTGTCGATTTCCTTCACTCCGTTATTGGAGAGGCAAATGATCACTTTACTCAATCCGAGGTCGACGAGGTCGATATTGCTTTGAAGAACGCCGAAGCCAGCAGAAACGGCGGTGGAGGCTCGAGTGATCGCGGTTTCCTCGGCGTTTCTGCGCCAACTGATTTTATCTCTTTGGTCTCGAAACTTCCTGGTGAAGGTGATGGATTTGCTGCCCAAGCCAGAGAGCTCCAGGCCAGGTCTGATGCGCAGGAGCAGCAGAATCGATCTGTAGACCGGGGTATGGATCGAGCCAGAGCGGAAGGAAATACCAACATTGTTCCAGGCATGAGCCCCGACTTTGACCCCGTCAAGACTGCCGGACAGATCTACCCAATCCTGCAGTTCAGAGACAGAATTGTAAAGACAATCAGCCGAGGAATCGCCAAAATTCCTGGCCTGGAGAAGCTGCTTGAACACATCAGTGAAACTCTGACCGCTTTTGTTCTTGGACTCTTGGCGCCCTTCATCCGTCCCATCATCACCCAAGTATCCAAGGTCCTCAAAGACGGTTCCTCCGGCATCATTTCGGCCAGCTCCAAGTCTCAGCTGGAGCCTTGGGACAACCCTCGTTGCTCGGACCCTACTCACTCCATGTTGTCTAAGGATCATTTCACCAACATACTCAATTCTTGCGCCGGTCGTGTTGCTGCAACATGCCTGCAATATGCTGTCCCGTAAGTTTCTTGCCTGCTCCGCCACTTTGTGACGTGCTGACAACCTCAGTCGCATCCTTTTCGCGTGGGACAACATCGGCGTACCCACTGACGAGGTTACGAATGATATTCTTCAGGCCCTGCATCACCCTTCACTTCGCGACGAAAACATCGAAATCCAACGAGACATGTTCAAGACTGTGCGAAAGTGGGCCGACGAACACCCTCGTCGCCACGACCTCGAGCGTCTCTTGTCTTCCGAGTCCGTCAGAAATGGAAAGAATCACGTCTTGAACCAACAAGGTGGCAGTGGAAAGCGCGATATCCACTCCTGTGGAGGTGGCTTAGATTCTGCGCACGCAGGCCACGGCAAGGTTGCCGGCTCGCTCTGGTCCCAGATCCAGACGCGAGACTTGGCGTCGATTCAAGGCAGCGATGGAAACCCCAGCGAAAACTACATGTCACACTCGCCTGCACCTCCGACGAGTCAGCCCCCTCCATCAGACGGATACAACTACAGCCAGTCCACATCCGGACCCTCTGGAAGATACGACCAGCCGGCCCCCAACTCAGGCCAGTACTACTCCGGCTATAGCCAGGGTCCCCCCGCTCCTCAGCAAGGCGGCTATGGTGGAGGGTCCGGATATGGTGGCCCTCCTCAGGGACCTCCTCAAGGCCAATGGGGTGGTCCAGCACCACCTGCTCCCCAAGGCTACGGTGGCCCCGGTTACGGTGGAGGCGGTTACGGCCCTGGTCCCGGCGGTCCTCCTGGTCCTGGATATGGTGGTCCTCCACAGCAACAATACCCGCCATATGGGCAGCAGCCTCCGCCTGGCCAAGGTCGACCTGGTTCGTGGAACCAGTACCCTGGCCAGGGGCCTCGTTACTAGACGAGATGCCGCTATTTCATTTGTTCGGATCAGATCAATGATTTACATGATGGCGTATCTATAGGGTCTTGCAAAAGAAAAAAAAACACATCGCCTTTCGAGTGGTGAACGAAGTTTGGAGAGGAGATGGCGCGTGAACGCAGGTGAGCTTTTCTAGGGGATTCTCACTGTGCATTAGATTCGTACAGTGGTTTTACTGTAAAGCTTATATTTATAAGACGGAAATTCTATATGAAATACCAAGTTTGTGACATTGGTGTTGATGCAAAAGGTGGTCCATGTGGAAACAGTCGCAATAATAAGCAAATGTGTTGTCAAACATGAAGCAATGATGCGCTTTGCTTATAATACCGCATCAACATGAAAGCATCGCTTACAACGCCCTTTTATTGACTCTCTCTGCATCGCTCGCTATACCCCGTGTTTTGCCTGCTCATCGCTTGCCGCGTCGGGGATCCAACGCTTCTTTCCGTCTAATCTCACGCATCTCTTTTGTGCCAATGGGCCCGAGACCGCCCTCGGAGCGACGCTCCCAGCCGCCGAGGCGGACAACCTGGCAAGTGGCATTGTCGCCGTCGTCGGACACTTCGGTGGCGTAGTCGACGACGGCGCGGGCGCCTTGCTCGGGGGTCTTTGCCTCCTTGACAATGTCGACAATCTCCTGGTCCGAGAGGGTGCCGCAGACGCCGTCCGACATGAGCACGAGAAAGGCGTACTGGGCGGGTCCGAGGTCGACGCGAGTGATTTCGGGCTCGGCGGAGACGCCGATGCGCTTGGAGCGAATGTCGCCAAAGGCGCGGCTGTTGGCGAGGCCGGCGATGCGCTCCTCGCCGAAGCTGTCGCCCGAGACCATGGAGCCGGCGGGCGCGTAGCGGCGCAGGCGGCGGCTCTCGGTGGGCGTGCTGGGGTGGTGGTCCGAGGTGAGGGCGCGGGGCAGGCCGGTGGCGGTGTCGCAGAGCAGGACGCGGCTGTCGCCAACGTGCGCGACGAGGAGCGTTGACTGGGCGGCGGGGTGCCAAAAGGGAGCGGGCGTGGGCGTGGAGATGAGGGCGACGGAGGCGGTCGAGCCGCCTTTGAAGCGCGTGGCGCCGCCGATGCCGTGGCCTGACGGCGTGGCGTGCGGCGCGCCGAGGATCTCGTCGTTGTTTACGGGCGCGTCAGACACGCACGGGTCGTCGGGGTCGGCCTTGCGTGCCTGTGCCGACACGAAGTCGAGGTCGGCACGTAGGAAGGCGTAGGTAAGGGCCGACTCAAACGAGACGACGGAGTTGTGCGACGCATCGTCGGAGAGGTCAAAGTGCTCCGAATTGAAACGTCGAAAGTAGCCGCCGATGGTGCCGGCGTATTCGGCGACGAGGTCGCGCTCGAGCTGCACGGCCTTGGGGTAGTCGTGCAGCTTGGCCGGCACCGCGTCCTCGCTGCGCAGCGGCTCTCCATGTTTCGGCGACTGGCGCATCGACGCCGCGTCCGGCTTGTCCTCCTCAACCTTGTCCTTGACCTCGTCGGGCGACTTGAGGGGCACGGATCGCAGCGCCTTTTCTTTGGTGAGGACGCCGCGGTGATCGGCAGCCGCGTCGCGACCGGGCTTTTGCTTGCGCAGGCTGCTCTCGAGGCCAAACGTGCTCGACACCTCTTCAATGTACCCGTGGAGCTCGTCGCGCAGAAACGACGAGCACTGCGTGCCACCGTGGCCGTCAAACACGCCAAAGTAGAAGATCTGCGGATCGCCCGACTGGCTCTCGGCCGGTGTGGGCTCCCCCGGCTTCTGCTTGATGCTCATGGGCCCGCGCTTCGCAAAGGCGGGAATGTCGACGATGCCCGCCTGGTCCGTATCCTCGTTGTAGGGACGGCTGCCGCGGGAGCTCGCGGAGCCAAAGTGGTGCTTGGCGCGGCGGAGCGGGATCCGCACCACGGTCAGGTCGCGGGCCGGCAGGTTGGGGATGGCGACGGCGGGACCGGCGCCCGGGCTGGGCGTGTGCGGCGTGGAGGCGTCGCGGGGCAGCTTGTGACCGCCGGCGATGCGTCGCGCGTCCGGGTGCATCGACGACGAGGGAAGGTGGGTGACAAAGTAGGTGTGAAAGCCGCGTCGCTTCGATTCGGGGTGGTGGGCGGCGGCTGGCTCGCGCGGCGCGGGGGCGGCAATGGACGTTCGGCGGGAGGGGCGGCATGACTGCTGCAGTGAGGGATGAGGCGCCGTGCGGTGTGAGCCTTCGACTGCTTCCGCAGCATCTTTACTGAGGCTAGAGGATGCGGCACGCAGCTCAGAAAAGGCTCGCACAGCCTGCGGGCCAGCCGCGAGGGCGGGCAGCAGTCTGGCGCACTCTGCGCAGAGATAGGCGGCCCTGTTTGGGAAGCGGCGTGCGCCGTGCGCCACTGAGGCCATTGCTGTTGCCGAATCCGAATTTTGCGTGCTATGATTTTCGAGTGCCAGCCAGCATGTCGTCGAGTCGAATTGGCCGTCGCAACAGATTCTTGTCTCACAAAGTTTTAGTTGTTGGGGTCCTGGGGGGGGCTAGCGCGGCAGGACGGCCTCAAATTGTTGGCAGCTCACAGCTCAACGACAGCGCTGCGTATGTGGAATGTACAACTCCCCAGAGTGATGTTCTCTTGCGAGCAGAGAGAAAAACTCGAAACAACGGCCCTCAAAGACCAAGAAGCGTGAGAGGGGGAGGTGGAGCTTTAGGAGAGAAGCCAAGTGGGAATGTTGACCAAGTCTGAACTGGAAACGAAAGATTAGATCTGTTGAGTTAGTGGCCGGCCGGGCAAAAGAGCGTGGGCCCGTGGGAGTCCGTGGGGGGCGCGAATCATGGCTCCACAAGCAATAGTAAGCCGCAGCCTGTGTGAGACTGTGCCTGAAGAAGAAGATTCCAGCATTCATAGGCACTTTTTTGCCTGCCAGCTGCTAGGCTTGCTTGCCTGAGGCTGACTGTTTCATGAAAAACATGGTTGTGAATGAACCAAGCAGCCACAGCTGACGCCACGATTCAAAATAGATCAGATGTATCCGTACACTGTACAAATTGAGAAGTGAAGGCAGGGGATAGTAAACGCAGGATGGCGAGTTGGTAGGCTACCTACGTTAAGAAAATGACAAATATTAGTGACTAATTAACCGAAGCATTCCCAACTATAAACATAGAGAGCATGTATCTCGAATGTCTTGTTAAGGTAGTCTGTGCTCGCGTACGACCAAAACGAAGCATGCACCCTGACCATCTCCATGGACTGGCCCGCCTCTCAAGTCTCCTCGCCTCTTCTTTCTTTAATTTCTCCAATTCCAACTTATTTCCATGGCTTTTTAGCCAAGATAATGTCCAGCGTTTGAGGCACATCATAGAGGATCTAACGACAGACGCTTCGAAACCCCACTGTACGCAACAGTCTGTCAGCGGCTAACCAGCCGCTGAGCGCCCAAATGCCTGCTGCTGTCCCCTGTAAGGCAGCCAGCCCAACACACCTTAGCCGCATGCAACTCAACGCTACCCTTTACCAAACTCGACTGCCTCTGCCATCGCTATTCGCTTTTTCTTACCAACTCGAGGTCCAGCTTTCTTGGACCGTAATTGACACGAACTCAAGCCCTAGGGACCACCGAGGCAGTTCCATGTCTGAATGGCCTAGACCGCACGATGGGAGAGTCTGCCGCCACTGCCTCTGCAGATGGCGAAGGCTCTGACAGCACAACGGCGGATGGCCGCAGGGTCGTCAATGTGGCTGTTGATGGTGATATTGTGCTGGACGTAACTTTTGAGACGTCGCTTGAGACACTCAGGAAGCATCGAAAGGCCGAAGCGGCGGCCCTGCGCAAAACGCGGGCGCCCAGCCAGCAGCTGCCCCCCGCCAGCAGCGGCACGCGCGTTCGTGTTGCATACCGGTTGAGTCTCGAGGTGCTGAAACGCAGCTCAAAGTACTTTGCCAACCTGCTCTCCAACCCCAAGTTTTGCGAGGCCGAGGCTATTTCCAGCGCCCATGCCACGCTGCACTCGATGAGGATTCCGCCCAAAGAGGCGGCTGTGGATGATCTTCCCTGGGTGGCTGTCGCCGATGATGACGACGCCACCAAGGCTGCTGGCCGCGAGACCGCGTTTGAGGACATGATGCGCATACTGCACAGGAAGCCGGTCAAAGAGACTCGAGCAACCATGTCGTATGCCACCACCATGGCCATCATTGCAGATCGATTCGACTGCGTGGCGATAGTGGCGCGGGCTCTCAACACTGATCTCAAGTTCAAATGGCCGTTGACCAGTACAAAGCCGCTTGTGGATGACGCAGGCCGGCCAACGGATGTAGAGCAAGTCTTGCGTCAGAAAATCTTGGTTTCGTGGTTGCTAGGACAGCCGCTGAGACTGCAGCAGTCTTCGCGTGAGCTCATCATACGCGGATCTAGCTACTGGAGTGTATATCATGAGCCAGAGACGGCCTCGACAGCTGCGTGGTGGAATCTTCCCGATGGCATCGAAAGTAGGAAGAGCATTTTTGAAGCCAAATTCTATTCGCTACGTACTGACGCTTCGCAGATGAACTCCAATACCGTCGAGAGTGCATACTCAACACTATCGCTTCTGTGCAAAAGCATTTTGTCGATTTGTATTCGTCCCGCGAAAGGCAGTGCAAGATGGGTTATGACTCTAGCGCAGCGTGCGACTCGTTTCAACTCGGACAGATGATTAAGTTTCTCGTCTCAAAGAATTTGCTATTTCTGGTCGACTACAGCGCGGCATCCATCAATGCAGTGCCCGATGCGTCGTCCGTCAACATTGAGGGGCTCCTCGTCACGCTGCGGCAGTGCCCCAATTACCAGATTGATAAGAACCACACAAACTGCGGTCCGCGAGTGCGTTTAGGCCCAATACTAGACTACATGCAGTCGATGCTCTCCGCGAGCGTCGTGTCCTTGTCGCATGCCGACTGGACGAATCGGCGAGAGACGGCGTCCTGGGCGACAGGGGACGGCTCAGACACGGCAGGCGACGGCGAGAAGGACAAGACATTCCTCTTTACGCGATCCGTAGCTAATGACCAACGTCTGCGGTATGAAGGTGCGCTGTATGTTGATAAGATGGCCAAGCGGCTGTTTACATCTGAGACGTGGAACTGGACCCCGGAGATATAGGGGCTATGGGGTGGATACGGCCATTCAAATTTATATAAGATCAGAATGTGTGCTTGACTGTAGAAAACCGCGCAGCTGTAGATCAGCGAATATCAGATTGGAGGCATGCAGCTGCATGCAGGTCATTACTCGCACTGAACTGTCAAACTGTTCAAGTGCGGATGGTCCACCTCGAACAGCGCAGCGTCAGTAGCTGGCAGACTGCATGCTGCTGTTTGTTCTTTTCCACTGTTTTATGACGAGGTTGTTTTAATGTATTCAACATGGTACAATATGCTGGTTACTGTCAGTACTCGACAAGCCGGGGTGACGGCGACCGACATGAAGCCCGGAGATAGCTGCAGCAGGAGCCGGGGTCGCGTACCTGCGGCCCATGATTGAGGAGATGATGCAACACCGGCACAACGTGCGTGCAGAGACGGAAGAAATCGCAATCGAGTTCTTTTGCAGTCTGAAAGCTTTTTAAACGGGCAATGTGGGTGCTTCGCCTTTAATCTTGCAAAATTGGCTTTAGTCTTTTATGCTCTTTTTCGCTCTTGACACACAATACAGGTGAGGTACCTCGTGATGAAAGCGAGTGCAGCTGAGACCCAGGTAGACCCAAGTAGCCCCGCTGTCACGCGCTGTGGCGGACAGTTCGCGCCACCGCCGGATGCACTAAAAACTAGGTATCAGAGTTCGCTACAAGAAACTAGTTGCAGGCCCTGTAGAGCCCTCGCAGAGCCTGTAAAGCCCCTGCTAGAGTGAGAAAAAAACGTTCGTTTGGATGGTCCCACGACAGATCGCGCTGTCCGGACGACTTTATTTTCCTTGAGCGCCACACCAAAACACGAAGTCACTCCCACTCAGACCCTTGTCCACATGCGTCGCGCCCAGAACGCCAGAACCAGACCGCGTAACCATTTGTGAGTTCAAGAAAACCGGCAATCACAGCCAACCTCTTTCCTTTTTTCCCCTTCTAATACTCTTCTTCGGACGACGCTCTGCTTCTCGCTTCAAAAGAAAACTATCTTGTCTGATCCATATTCACCAGTTGCGTCGCTTCTCATACCCAGTCACTGCATCATCTCCCCGCGCAACGCTCCTCTGTCCCGTGTGTTCCCACCACGCTCACTCTCGGTCTTGTCCGGGACGGCCCTCTTTCGTCACTACCACTGATTGCCAGGCTTTCGGCACGTCTCCGTCCGCTGGGGTGCACGACAAACCCTCGAGCGACAAATTTGATTTTCTTTAAAAAGCCCTCGACCGCTTCGCATGTCGCAAATGGGCTCGGATACTAGCAGCGGCGAGGCGGTGCCGTCGTCCTCTGCGTCGTCGAGACGCGACGGGAGCGACATGACCGTGCCGGCCACGCCGCCCATCGCCAACCCACATGCCGATGATAGTACCGCGTCGTCGACACCGCACTCCACCAACGTCATGGACGGTCCTCCCGGCGCCTCGCAAAAGTCCGCTGCTCCCTGGCCCTCGTCGTCCATGACCGAGTACGCCCCGGCACCAACCTCGTCCGTGCCGCACTTCTCGTCCCAGACCGTACCCGACTCGCAAGAATCCGCCAGTTTCGCCGGAGGTGACACAAGACTAGACGCGGAGATGCGCAGCAACGGCACAAAAAGCCATGGTGACGCCAATGGTGAGGCTGGACGACCGCTTTGGCAGCTGTCGGCCCTGGCCGCCGCGCAGGAGCGTGTTGACCACGACGACGCCGCGGCTGGCTCACGGAAGCGCATGGCCAACGGCGAGGTCAAGACGCGGAGCAGGAGCAACAGCCCAATCAAATCGCATGCGAGAAGCATCAGCGCTATTAGCATGGGTTCCATGGGAAGCCACATCAGTGACGTACGCATGCTCAACCTTTACACATCAACCTTTCGCTATTTCTCTCTAACACGTCTTATAGATGTCGGCGGATCTCAAAACACGGTTGGCATATGCCATGATGAAGGTGCACAATGGCTGGCAATCACGCTCTCTCGACGAAGTTGAATCGCTCGCTTCACAAGCTGCATCGCCAGCCTCGAGCAACTCCACCCTCCCACGTCGCCAATCTTCCTCCACCAGCCCCCGGCCACCGCCAACGTCAGCAGCGCAGGTACACTTTGCGCCCAACCCCGTAGAGTCTCGCCGGAAGTCGCATTCGCCGCCCATACGACCCGGCAAGCCGTCTCTGGCTCCTCCAGCGCCTATTCAACCTTCTCTATCCAGTAGATCCGGCAATAGCCGCCGAAATACCGTCTCAAGACACCCGCCCGCACTTCTCACACACTCACACTCCGCCTCGGCCGCTGGTAGCTACTCTCCGCGGCAACGCTTAGACGTAGGTGCCATGCCATCGTCGCAACCGTCGCGGCCACTGGAAGGCATGATCTACTCTCCGCATCAAAACGTGAGAGAGCAAGACGCCATTGAGACGTTGCTCTTCATGAGCAGCCCCAACAACTCTTCCAATCTTCGACACGCCTTTTCCCCCTCCGTCTCGCCCGCGCCGCAGCAAGGGCTTCTGCACGAGACCACGCACCGCAGCACCCCGCCATCCGCCGGCTTCCGAAAGGGCTTGCCTGTTCAGCGTCCAGCCGTGCCGCAGCGGCGCGCGGGCCTCGACAGGTCACCCGTCATGGGCCCCCCTGGCTCTCCGATGGAGCTGGACTCACCGCAGCAGCGTCAACAGCAGCAGCAGCAGCACCAGCCGTACCGCTCGGCAAACACCTGGACGCCGAAACGACGCGCGAACGGGGCTAGTGGCCATTTACGTGGCGCGTTGTCCCTGCCCACGGGCCTCGACTTGAGCAACGGCCGCGCGAGACAGAGGCTGCGCGATGAGGACATTGACCTCATACTGGACCGTGCCGCCGACGATAGCTCGGATGATGAGGAGATTCAGCTGCCACCTAGGAGAAACGGCGTGACCGGTGCGATTGGTATCTAAAGGAGCTCAACCCGAAATGCATACTTGCGGATGATGATACCCACCGCCGCTCTTCTTCTCCCCATGTCGAAGAATATATACTCATTTGTATATATAACGTCTGCGTTCGTGGACAGGTTTGTTGATTACCATGTTGTTGGATATTAAATGACAAAGACGTCACAGACAGGCGTCTTTGCTCTCCTCGGTCCATTATTATCGGGTGGCAGTATTACGAGTGCATTATCGCATATGGGTCTATTATCACGCTTCATTTCTGTTGCACATGTTTACATTTTTGGGTACATTCAAGGGACACATTGCCTTTTTAATTTTTCATTTCCATTTTTCCCCAAAGAGCGGGAGCAATCAATATCATCTTTTTCACCATCTTTCTGCCCATTCAACCCGATGATTGTGATATTCACTTCCTCTCCCTCCTTGGCCCTGCATCAGCAATCTTACTTCAATTCCATTCTCTCAATTCAGCTCCTTTGCCATTTCGCCCACTAATGATCTTCCCGGGCTCCTGTCCGACGCCCACTCCGCGGGCGCAAATAGCGCAAACAGGCCGACTTTGTGTAAGACCGGCACCGCGGCGCGCAACGCCTCCGCGAGGGTCTCCTGCGTCGCGGCGTCGCCTGCGGCCGCGGCCGCGTCGTAGGCTCGCACGTTGACGAGCAGCGCACCGACGGTGCCAGTCGGGATGCGCTCGCCGCTGGGGAGCGTGACGACGGGAAATGCGCCGGCGGATGTGCCCAGCGTCTTGCTGTTGATGGCCTGGACACTCTCTGGGGTTGGCTCGGGCCTGAGCTCGGCGGCCATTGTTGGCTGTTGGGTGAGGAAGCTCTGTGAGAAGAAGGTGTGTGTGGTGGAAAGTGGTGCGCGGTTAGATGGAGTAATGATGGTATCGAGAATATGGTTTTATAAGGGTAATGAAGGAAATTGCTGCTTTCATACATGGTACTTATAGGTTTGCTGTTAGGAGGGCTCCACGGACTTTCCGTGGGTGCGTCCTCAACCTCGCGATCTTGATCGCAGGCGAGCCATAATACTCGTAGATGGGTCCCTATTCAATTTTGTAATCTATTGCACATGCATAGCTTCTAATTGTTATTTCTGCATCCTTGGGTGGCCGCATGCCTCATCTACCAGCCATGCTGTCATCCCGCATCTAAATAGCGGAGTAGAAAGACAAGGAGTTCAAGGGGCGGGAAGTAATAAACACTGGACATACTGATAATGTGTGCTTGCAGAAGTCTTCACATTGCTCCCATGCCAGCTCAATCTTGAACCACCGGAGGCCATGTGTCAATAGCCGCACGGCATCGTGCACTTGATGCTTTTTCAGCACCGAGAAGCAACATTTTACTGCATCAGACTTACGTCACACACAGTCTTGTCTCGCTTGACGATGCTTGATTCGTCGGCCGCGGCGCGCATCCCTGATTGTCTTGGGCGGAGTAGCGTGTCCGAGTAAGACACGGCCACCAGGGAAACGAGGGAACAACTCATATAATACAGAGTATTTGCCATGGGGTTGCATACTATCGCACTGTGCTACTTGGAGTGCCCGTTTTATCGGTCGCAGCACTCGCTGAGCACGAGCTAAAGAGAAAAAGAAAAGGAAATTTTGTTTGTTAGAAGGAGCTAAACTCGCAGTGCGGCTTGGTGACTGGCATTCGCGTTGCACGGTCACAATGCCAGGAGCCGCACCTGCCGTTGTGATCGACGAAACCTTGACTCAAGACGAATAAAGCAAATACAAGGAGAAACAACAACAGTCAGCTCGCAAGCCTTGTGCGGCCATCCCTTTTAAATTGATGCCTGATCCAATGCATGTCTCCAAGCTATAAGCCCAACTCTAGTTTAAACATGCACGACTGTGCCTGCCGCGACTCAATATTGCTTCTTTGAATAATCAAGGCTATCGTCTCTCCGCCTCTCCCAGAAAATCGACTCGAGATTGCTTTGTCGACAGCAAAAAGCCCTTGGCCCTCTTTGCGTTTTCGGGCTTTGTTTCTTCCGACAATCATGCTACCCAAGCTGGCACTGGGAGCGGCGCTGCTCGGATGGGGGTCGCTGGCCGACATTTGCCTCGAGAGGACGACGAGTCTCCCGCCAGGATGGATGAAGATAAACGACACGGTCAATGCGAGCGAGTGGTACTCGTTCTCAATCGCTCTAAGGCAGCCAGAGGTGAAAGGGCTGCAGAAATTCCTGACGTCGGTGCAAAAGGACGTGCTTTCTCTGGCCGACACCAAGCTGATGCGCGCCCCAACTCCCAAGTCTGTCAGCGCGGTGCAGGCCTGGCTGCGCAGCCATGGAATCCAGAACATCGACGCCAAAGGCGACTGGGTGAATGTCCGCGCGACGGTCGGGCAGACTGACGCGCTCATCGGCTCCCTCTTAGAGCACTACATCTATCACGGCGAGGATAAGCCTGTCCTTCGCACCACGCAGTACTTTATCCCCGACGCCCTGGAGGACGCCATCGACTTCATTCATCCCGTCTCCAACTTTATGCGGCCCGTCCGCTCCTTGTCCAAGATCAAGTGGCTCAACGAGACTGACCTGACGAAGCGTGACCCGCCCTGCACCTCCGTCATCACGCCCAAGTGCGTGCGCGAGGCGTACAACTTTTACTACAAGACGCCCGACGATAGATCGAGCGTCACCATGGGTGTGGCTGGCTTCCTCGAGCAGTACGCCAACTACCAGGATTCGGACCAGTTTCTGTCGGAACACGCGCCCGAGATTGCTGCAAAGAAGTACAACTACACGGTCGAGCTCATCAACGGCGGCGAGAACTCGCAGGAGCTGGACAAGTCAGGTGTTGAAGCTTCGCTGGACGTCGACTACGCGCTGAGCCTTGCGTACCCGGCCAAGCTCGTCTTTTACTCGACCGCAGGCCGGGGCGAGCTAATCGGCGAGGATGGCAAGGCCGACTCGAGCCCGGCGTCGAGCAATGAGCCCTATCTGGAAATATTTCAATACTTTTTGGACAAACCCGACGGCGAAATCCCGAGTGTGCTGTCCATATCCTACGCTGACGACGAGCTGTCAGTCCCGCGACCCTACGCCGAAAAGGTGTGCAGAATGATTGGCTTGCTCGCGGCGCGCGGCATGACGGTGCTCGTGGCGTCGGGCGACGGCGGCGCGCGCGGCGGCCAGGACTCCAACTGCCGCACGCGCGACGGCTCCAACAAGAAGATTGCTATGGCGACGTTTCCGCCGACGTGCCCGTGGGTGCTTGCCGTCGGCGCCGTTTCCAACACTCAAGACCCGCCCAAGGCGGCATCGTTCAGCACGGGAGGCTTCTCGCGGTACTTTGTGCAGCCGGCGTGGCAGCGCGAGGTGGTGGACGAGTACGTGCGGGCGCTTGGCGGCCGCCTCGATGGCTACTACGAGCCGGACAAACGGGCCATTCCCGACATTTCGGCCGTGGGCACCAACGTGCTGGTGCTGACCGGCGGGAAGCCAGGTCTGGTGCAGGGCACAAGCGCCAGCGCACCCATAGTGGCGGCAATGCTGGCCTTGGTTAACGACGCGCGCGCGCGCGCCGGCAAGAAGCCTCTGGGCTGGGTCAACCCGCTACTGTACAGCGAGCGCGTGCGCGGGGTGCTGCGCGACGTGACGAAAGGGGAGAGCCGCTCATGCAACTTTGACGGCGAGGAACCGGGTGGGTGGCCGACTAAGCCGGGCTGGGACGCCGTCACCGGGCTGGGCGTGCCAAAGGACTTTAACGAGCTGCTTGACGCGCTGGTGCACGCGGATGATTGATGGTTCGCGAGGAGAGGCTATTGGGCTGGATTGGGATGAAGGTCCTCGGGCGGAGAATTTTCGACGCCATGGGTGATCAAGACGAGGAGCATAGCTTTGCCATGGACGACTGGTTTCTAGAGCATTGAGTTATAGACTGATGGCCATTATCAGACCAGACGCGAAGGAAGGTTAATGTATAGATAGCTATCACAAGTTATAAAGTATCCATAGAGCAGTAGTTATACGGGGACCCTCTATACAATATCTCTGACTTCAAGTTATAGCCTGCTTACGTACATATGATCACACTTGCAGTTGAGCGGGAGGGGAGTCCACCACCTACTGACAGCTCGCCGTGGGACAATGCTTGACGTCCAAGCGTAACAAGCACTGTTTTTAGGACGGTGCAAAATCCAATTGCCTGGTGACATGATGTCAGATTATCATTTATTGGATACGAATATTGCGTCTACTGGTCGTTATCACTAAACCGTTCAGTGGACCCGCCAGCAGCGACTCCAACATGCAATCAGCACCCATCCGAAGAGCGCTAGTCCGACAAAGGTATAAAGAAAACATGCTGGGGACGGCCCGGCCGCCAGCCACCAGCCTGCCACCCGTTCGCGACATCAACAGATTGTGAGGCGCGTCACAGCTGTCAAACGCCCAGCAAACGTCACGCACGATTGGGTCTCAAGGAACTGTTGCCTTGAGCATCAATTTTTGGATATCTGTTCTCATCAGCATTTCTCATTTTTTTATCATTATTTTCTTCCTTTGGCCCATTACACGCTCTTCAGTCACTTCAACGCCTACAACCACGATCAATAAGATAATTACGTACCTAGTTGCCAGCTATCGTGGCACAACGACCTTTGACTTGACATTGACGACTGGCAATTGAATTGCCCCAAAGTAACGACATACACCACGATACGATGGAGTAATTTCCTCGGACATACACACTCAATCTTGGGACCTTGACTTGCCTTGGGGCGCGACGCGTTTGCAAACGGGACGCCGTTGAGCTCGTGTGCTCCCTGTTTAGCCTCAGACCTTCAGAGCGACCATGCCGACTGCGCACGTTGAGCCCAGCTCTGGAGAGCTTCTCCAAGACATTGCCGAATCGCTGCTCAAGGCGCGCAAGATTGTCGTCATCACAGGCGCGGGAATCAGTACAAACTCGGGCATTCCGGTATGCGGCTACAGACTATACACCATGAACATACCTGGTACTTCAAAATGACTTGCTAACGTGGGATGCTGTTTTCTGCAGGATTTTCGATCCGAAAATGGACTATACTCGTTGATTCAAGCACAATTCGACGCGGCCGCTAAACGAGAGGCGCCGAGGTTCGACACAGAGACGCGGCATGGCACGAACGAGGAAGAAGGGGTCGATGCACGACCGGCAAAGCGCCTAAGATCTTCTCCTTGTGCTTCGCCAGAAGTTTCGCCGCAAAATAAAGACAAGGAAGACGAAAACATAGAGGAAACCGAATTATTGCAAGCGCCAGTGAAACAACAGGAGCTTACTGCAGACTCAACCACTGCACCAGAAAGTCCGTCATTACCAGAAGCGGTATCATATGCTACGCCGCGCTCCGCGCGTCATCCGCTCTCCATCCCCCATCTCACGACCTCCCCGCTGTCCTCACCACCACCCGACGACCAAATAGTTCCCCCGTCGACGTTTCGGTTTGCCGGCCATCTCACAAGGTTTGGCGTACCTCCCAGCTCCTCGCCGCTCTCGTCACCGCCACCGGTGCTGTTTGATCCCTACGAACCCTCTTTACCAGACTCAGAGTCCAACGAGCACAGTAACACGAGTGACTCGGAATCGGAAGAATTCTCCGCAGCGCGGAAACTGTTTGCCTCCTCTCAAGGCTCAAGCTCAAGCTCTGGCCGCAGCACGCTGCCCAATATGAAGGGCAGAGATCTGTTCGACGTGTCAGTATGGGCAGATCCGGTCCGCACGCAAGTCTTTTATACATTTGCCACGTCTTTGCGGCAAAAGATTAAGGATGCGGAGCCAACAGGCTCTCATAGGTTCATCAGCCATTTAAGAAACCGTGGCAAGCTGGTCCGCTGCTACACGCAGAATATTGACCAAATCGAAGAAAAAGTTGGCTTGTCAACATCATTAATCGATGGACCTGGCAGCCGCGGTCGATTTTCACGTCGGTCTACCGCCAGGGACCAGTTGGCAAAAATGGTCGAAGAATCGTCGAGCAAAGAGCTTCCTAGCAGCCAAAATTCTTCCTCCGACAACTCAGGGTCGGAAACGGCCACGCCACAGACATCACAGGCTTCATTACCAGACGCACCATCGTCACAGACTGACGGCGACGCATCATATGCCGATAGCAAGAACAACGCGCTCCCCGCACTCAAGAAGGAGCCATCGCAATCTGGTGTCGAGTGCGTATTCTTACATGGATCTTTAGAATCGCTGCGCTGCTTCCTATGCGGGCAGGTTTGCTCCTGGGACGAGGACCGCGAAACGTCAACCTTGACAGGCCAGCAGCCAGAGTGCCCACGTTGCGCCGGAGCCGCCGCGGCTCGTGAAGAAAAGGGGAAAAGAGCCCTAGGTGTAGGAAAACTGCGCCCGGACATTGTTCTGTATGGCGAAGAACACCCTAATGCACATCTAATCAGCCCCATCATCACACACGACTTAGCACTCTATCCTGACATGCTCCTTATTCTTGGCACAAGCTTACGAGTACACGGGCTCAAGGTTATGGTGAGAGAATTCGCCAAAACAGTCCACAGCAAAGGCGGCAAAGTCGTCTTTGTCAACTTTACGAAGCCACCAGAGAGCTCGTGGGGTGACATTATTGACTTTTGGATCCAATGGGACTGTGATGCCTGGGTTGACGATTTGCACGTTCGTGTTCCGAGGCTCTGGCGTGATCCATCACCCAAGAAGCCGCGCCCACCGGCGGCGAATCCCGTAGCCATGCGCGATTCCAAAGTCACAGGTGCTTACTGCACCTTGAAAATTCTTAAAGAGCTACGCCGCATTACCGGAAAAGACACCCCGGAAAAGACTGCTGATCGTGCCACAAACATGGCCAACTTACCCCCGTTACCAGATGCCCAGACGACGGATTCCTCGTCGATGCCTGCTGTTAAGCTGCCTCGACCAAGAATAAAGGCTCAACGCAAATCCGCGCCGGGTGCCCTTGAGAGGCCTAAGAAACGACCTTCTACGCTGAATCCGAACCACGGTCGCAGCCGTAAGAGCGATGCGGCCGAGATGGATGGGCAGCAGCCGCAGAGTCCGGTATCGAGCAGCCCTATTGACAAAAGCTCCATACTTAATTCTGTCAAGTCAAACCCCCGCGTCCGCAAACGTAAGATGATTGATGGCGAGGAAATTGTGTTGCCCACTGTGGGCAGACGCCGCGGCACGCCACGCAGCAAACTCGATGCGGGCAATACATTGCCACCACTGAGACCTGGGCCTACATCCTCGCCATTCGGCAAGCCACAACCCATGGAGCCAATAAGCTTACCTACCGGACCACTCACATCCATATCCCCGAATCTTTGGTCGTCCTCTCGTCGCCTAAATCCATTCTACATTTACGATCCTCTGGTTGGGCTCTTGGAAGAGCCGTCTTCGGCGGCATGCACAGTACGACCGGAGCTCGGGCCCTCTCAAAAATTGCAGCAGCGATCTGATAAGCGGATCGCGACAGCCGCAGCCGAGACAGATGCGGCTGCGGCGCTCGCAGACGTCGGGACGAGTCCGCAGCTGGGGAAAACCAGGGCCTCACGAGGACTGGAAGGGCAATTGAGGACTTGGGGCTCCAATTGGAAATGCAGCAGATGAAAAGCGATTCTGTGCCTGCATTCTGAGCATTAAGCTTATAGATGACGAAGATACGATTCAATTTTTCCTAAGTTTCCTGCAGTTACAAAACCCCCCCAAAACGAGCTGCAACTGTTGTTACACATGACCCACTGTGTGATGTGATGAAGACTTGTCATGCCTTCTTTTTACGAGCTGCAAGAAAGTTGTCGACGCCACATTTTTTCTCATCGGTGCCAAATGCCGTGTAGTACAGATCCCGTTCAAAGCGATCGTCGCGGCAGAGGTCGTCCGCTAAAAAATCTCAGTCAGCTGCTTGCAACGATGCACTACACCGACGGATAAGTGCTCACCTCGGCAGATGGCTTCCTTGGCAAAGGCAATAGTCTGCCGGTTCTCTGCAGTAAAGGTGGAGGCAATCTCGACGCATCGCTGGATCAAAGTGTCCGGGCCGACGACATCGGTGACGAGGCCGGCGGCCATGGCCTCTTGGGCAGACATTGGTTGTGCGAGCAAGATGCTGCGCATGGCCTGCGAGGGTGGCGATCTCGTTAATCGTTGGCGTTGAGCACATGACCGGGGGGGGGGCAACTTACTCTGTATTTACCAATGGCTGCTGTGAGACGCTGGGTGCCGCCGGCGCCGGGAATGAGCCCAATCTTTGTCTCAGGAAGGACAAAATACGCGGGCTGTGCCGAAATAATAAGGTCGCTCTGGAACCGATCAGCGGAAATCTTCCACGGCCTGGTGAGACAGGTCTTCGGGGCAGCCAGCAGCCCGCCGATGCTCTGGCCGCGGTGAAACCGGCGCTGTTGACGGTGTCGCCGCGTGCGGGAGCCATGACGGCTGAAGAATCGGAGATGACCTCACCATCAGGGAGATCTCGAACCCGCCGCCTAGCTGTTGGACGTCAGCCGATGCAGATGCGTTGGGGGAGGTGGTGCGGGTGACTCACGGCCGGGCCGTTTACAGCTGCAATGATTGGCTTCTTGACAGATGCAAAACCAGCGCACAAGTCTTGCAAATACCGTGATGCTCTAGCACCCGCTTCGTCGAGAGCAGCAATGTCGTTGAGATCCGCGCCGGCTAGATGCGGTTAGCACATTCACATGTCACAAAAAAATTGTCGTACACGGCCGGGCAAAAAAAAAAAAATACACGACCAACACGCCCGGGGGGGAAAAGGATAATTTGAAACAGAAAAAGTAAATCTTGCGCGATCGAGGTGACACTCACCGCAGAAGAATGGTCCGTTTCCAGTTAGAATGATGGAAAAGATGCTCGTATCGCCCGAAGCAAGACGGAGCTCGGAGAGAAGGGAGCTAATGAGAGACTGTGATAGCGCATTGCGCTTCTCCGGGCGATTGAGGCGGAGCAGTCTTACACCCGGAGCGGGTGTTGACGATAGCACGAGATCGGATATCGAAGAATCAGCCATGGTTGTCTGTGATGATGATGCAAAACTCGTGCGCGGCGGAGGACACTCGACGGATGACTGGATGGATGGCGTCGAGGTACAAAAAAATTAGGCCAGCTTGGCGACAAAAGGTCACAACCTGAATTCGGTATCTGACGTTGGAGACGTTGAGAGACAAGGGTTGCGAAAAAGGAAGTAATTTAAATCGACAGTGCACTTTCAAAAGTGCGGATGCAACGGTAACTTGACAGATACGCCAACGTCGGTACAAATGTGTGTGCGGTGAAGATGCGATGAAGCCATACAGAGAGAGGCCTTGCCCGTAATAAACAAATACTCAACAAACGGGTGGACAACGGGCATTCCTATTTTGGAATGTGACGGGGTGATCTCCTCTCGTCCCGACTTTTTCATCTACGCACAGACAATATCTTGCTTGGGTTCATCGCATGTCGGTGACGCCTCGCCTTGCCTGCCCTCCTCGTGCACCCCCTCAAATCAAACCACTCAAGGGCCTTGCCAAGGTGCCAAGCAAGAACGGTGTGACAGACAAGGGAGATGCTGTGATGCTCTACCAGGATAACGACAAGCCCCCAAGCCCCCAAGCCCCCCCCCTCCCTCCGGACGCGAGCGCCCGACGTCGGGTTGAAGGAAAAAACTTGAAGAAGTCAAGACACACACCATCCCCGATTGAACAAAACATGCGTGGGGAAACTGAAACGCGCATGGCTTGGATACCACATGGGGGGAGGGCCGTGCAGACCTAGATTTTCTTTGGACAAGCAATTTTTTTTTGCTGAAGATGTGATGGGTTACATTGCAGGCCAGCTCAGAGACACACGTAGCCCTTGTTCTGGGTTACAATGCCTGCACGCAACCTTACATTCTTCTTTTTTCTTCAGCTCGTCGTGGGTTGACGTTGTTTTGGGGCGGCCAGCCAATCCATCTCATTCCTAAGCTCCCCCCCTAGCTCCGCAACCTTGGTCGTCTAGTTGCTGGAAAATGGGGTGATTCAAGAAAAAAAGTTGCTCGGTTATTTTTTTTGTTTCTTCTTTATTTTTTCCTTGCGGCCGCTTAGAAGATATCAACTGGTTTCTGGGGCCAGACGGGGTCTTGGAACGTCTTCGCCCTTTGGGGAAAGAGACAAGAAAACCAATATTTTCTTCCCGTTGCACGAGTGCGGAACAAGGAAAAAAAAAAGAGTGGTAAGCTTGAAACATTTGCCAACCAAGAAGAATAGGAAAGGGGCAAAAAAAAAAAAAAGAGAGAGATGCAGATGTAGTGTTGCTCTTTATATCTGTTGTTTCTGACCTCTTTTTTCTCTCTTCAACTTTTCGTTTCGCCATGACTTGAGAACGTCAATCGACTACAGCACCGACCAACCTCTTTTTGTTATCAACTGCTCGGCTAACTCGCCAAGTTATGTGCACCCTTGTCGCCCGATTCTGCGACGCACCAGCCAAAAAGTTGGGTATTTTGGTGGTCTTCTGGAAAGCAGTGAGACATGCAAGGTTCTCGATGGGCTCGCCAGACCACTTGACCGCATCTGGGCATGCCACGGTACCACCATGCCGGGTTTCCCAAGAGCGGAGAACGCCACTAAACATAAAAGATAGACCATCTCTGCAAAACTGGGGTGCTGACGAGGCTGGAATGGACCCGATGTGACCTGTACAATGCATTGTGGTGGTGATGCTCTTCTTCCCTCCACCTTTGCACCCCCCGGGAGGGTTGCTAGATCCGACCGCGAATGCGTGAGCGTGAGAGAGGCCCCCCCTTCCGGGAGCTGGGACATGTGGCGAAAATTGCCCGCCCGGGCGAGCAAGGCATGTCTGCAGCCATCGAAACCCATGGAGCGGGCGCATGACTGAGAAAAGAAAGTGCATTGGGAAAGAATTCGGAGAGATTAGACGCTTGTAAGAGGTCTAATGTTGCCGTAGAGATACCCTTGCCAGTCTCGTATCCCGGCGGTTAGGCTTGGCCCTGCCTGTCCTACAGTTCCCTTTCCGAGCAGGTAGGTAGGTAGGTAGCCTTGGAAAGTAATGGCTGGGGAGTGGGAGGAGGGAAGGGAAGAGGAGGAGGAGGAGGAGGAGAAAAAAAAGACGTATATATGGTGCGAGCCAACTGACTCGGATCATTTGAAAAATGTACCCGGCCGATTCATCATCATGATGGCGACCTCTATCATGACAACTTGCAAGCGCACCAACAACATGGCCAGAGACAGAATGGCCTTTTCTTTCGGTCAAGTATTGAAAACCCCATTCAGCACCACCACTGCTGCATTTGCCCACTTCTCCCTATCCAACCCGTCTGGGATCGCAGTCCACGACCTCTCCACCAATGTGTCACGGCAGCGTACATATGCAGAGCTGGCCATGCACGCCCAGGCCCTCGCCTGGCACCTGCGCAGCATTGGCGTGAAGCCGAACCAGAGGGTCCCTCTGGTGGTCAAGCGCAGCTACGAAATGGTGATTGGGATATGGGCCGTATTGCTCTGCGGCGCCCAGTATGTTCCCTTGGATGGCGGGGTGGTGCCAGACTCGACCCTGCGCCACGTGCTACACCAAAGTGGCGGTAATGTCTTGTTGTGCGTCTCAGCTACCGAGAATAGAGTGCGAGATCTATTCCCGGACGCGCAGATGGTGGTTGTGGAAGAGTGTGTGCATAGGGCTGCCGGCCAACCGGCTAGTTTGGAATGGGTAGACTTGGCAACTCCAGCCAGCGGCTGCTATGTCATATACACATCAGGCAAGTCAATTTATCCATGAAAAAAGGAGCATTCTTCTAATTGTATTAGGTACTACTGGAAACCCCAAAGGCGTTGACGTAACGCATGATAATGTGACCAATCTTGTTTGCCAGTATCCTGGCAATTTGGGTATAAGGCCAGGCACGCGGGTTGGTCAAGTCTTGAATATCAGTTTTGACATGGGTAAGCAACTTGCCAAAACCCCAACCATATCTCTCTCAAGATTCTCATGTTTTAGCTGCTTGGGAAATTTTCTCTTGTCTGTGTAATGGTGGCACCCTCGTCATCCGAGGATGGGACTGGGAGCCTACTATAAGCCAGGTACGGAGAAGAACGTGCCACTACAAGTCTAACAATACGCTAACCAACGAAAAAAAAATAAATAAAACAGATTGACGTCTTGATTTGCACGCCAAGTATATTATCAAAATACCAGCCTCAAAAGTATCCAAACATCAAAATAGCGGCAACAGCGGGTGAGCCCACCACCCAGGCCTTGGCCGATCTTTGGGCAACAGAGGCAGAATACTGGAATTGCTGCGGCCCAACCGAGACAACGATTGTCAATACCATGAGCAGACATGTAGCTGGACGGCCGATTGACATTGGAAAGCCGACTCCCAATAACAATGTGTATATTCTCGACGACATGATGCAACCTGTCGGGCTGGGCCAGACTGGTGTCATGTGGGCTGGCGGGCGTGGTGTGTCTCGAGGCTACGTCGGGCTTGAGGAGAAAACAAAGGAATCATACCGGCTGGATCCTTTTACAGACGATGGGTAAGAGAGAGCCTGCGCCTCTACAGAAGATGGTTTTTGAAAGCTGATGGGTTTCTAGGTCACTAATGTATCGAACCGGCGATCTTGGCCAATGGGATGCTGAGGGGAACATTCTAATCCTTGGACGCTGCGACGACCAAGTCAAAGTCAAGGTCAGCATTTTCGCGAGCAAATCTCAGATGGGGCGAGTTGAGCTGAAAGTCTAACTATTCTCCAGGGATTTCGAGTTGAGCTCGACGGCATCTCGTCTTCGCTTCTGTCAGCCCCGGGCGTTTCCCAGGCAGCGGCTCTCTTCCTGGACGGACAGGTGCACGCATTCGTGTCTCCTCCCCACCGGGACACGCAGTGTCTGTTTTCTTGCGTGGCAGAGCGGCAGCCCTACTATGCGGTGCCTTCCGTCATCCACCAGCTCGAGTCCTTTCCGGTCACGGCCAACGGCAAGACGGACAAGAAGGCTCTTGGCCGCATCGCCGAGGAGGAAAAGCACAGACGAGACAGCCTCGCGTCGTCGGAAAAGACGATGCCGATGAGCGACAGGGAGACTCTGGTAGAGACGCCGCGCCATGCTTCCTTTTCCTCGGCCACGACGGTCTTTTCGGAAAAGGCGGCCGGCATCGAGGAGCTCGCCGTCCCGGGAAAGAAGCTGTCGCAGCCGTGGCGCGGCCTCGCGTACCGCATCCTCATCATTTACCGCACCTTGTTCTCCGTGGTGGTGCTCCTCAACGCGGGCGTCCTTGCGCTGCTGCTGCTGCTGACGACGCCCCGCGCCGACGCGCAGCAGCTCCTCAAGCTTGTGGTCGCTGCGAACCTGACGCTCGCGGTCCTGGTCCGCCAAGACACCGTCATCAACATTCTGTACACGGTCTTTTGCTCGGTGCCCAAAACGGCGCCGCTGTGGATCAGACGCCGGTGCGCCAAGATTTACCACTTGGGCGGCGTGCACTCGGCGGCGGGCGTCTGCTCGACTGTCTGGCTGCTTGGGAGCAACATTTCCTCGACAGTCTCGTACGTGCGCCGCGACGAGGAACGGACAGACTCGCTCGCTTCGATTGTGGTTTCTTGGCTGATTGGCGCGCTGTGCTGCACCATGATTGGCTTCGCGTACCCGACCTTTCGCAAGCGATACCACAATACCTTTGAGCAGTCGCACCGGTTCATGGGATGGACGACGCTTCTCCTCTTTTGGGTCAAGACTGTGCTCAACGCCATGGATAGCGCGCAGCAGCCGGGCCAGGCTCTGGGCATGACTCTCGTGCAGAGTCCCGCATTCTGGCTACTCGTCGTCGCTACCTGCAGCATCGCATCGTCCTGGCTTTTTCTCCGCAAAGTACCCGTCGAGACGGTCCCACTCTCTGACCATGCGGCCGTCCTTTCCTTTACATACACCGTGCCCGTCAACGGCAGCTTCACGCGGATATCTACCCGCCCGCTGCTCGAGTGGCACTCGTTTGCCACCATCCCCCAGCCAGAGCCCAACGCGCTGGCTTCCCAAAAGGGATACTCCCTCGTCGTGTCCAACGCCGGCGACTGGACCAAGTCGTGCATCCAGAGGGCCCCGCGATCCGTCTGGGTGCGCGGGGTGCCGACGTGCGGCGTCATGCGCATCGCGACGCTCTTTAACCGCATCGTCGTCATTGGCACCGGCTCGGGCATCGGCCCGCTGCTCGGGCACATTCAGAACCCGTCGTGCAAGACGCAGCTGCTGTGGTCGACCAAGAGCCCTGAAAAGACCTTTGGCAAGCCCGTGCTGGACACGATATACAGAACCATTCCGGATGCCGTCATTCACGACACGGCGACAAAGGGACGGCCAGACCTGCTCAAGATGGGATACAACTTGGCGGTCGCGTCGGACGCCGAGGCGGTGATTATCATTGCGAATGAAAAGATTACGAAAAAGGTGGTGTATGGACTGGAAACGAGGGGGATACCTGCGTATGGAGCTATTTGGGATAGCTAAATGGTTTGTCGATTTGAGTTTATTGTTTTTTTTGATGAGGTTTTATTGGATTTTATGATTTTTTTTTTTTCGGTTGTCCGACAGTTTCTTGTACTAGTTTTTTGTCTTTATTTGTTTTTTTTTTCTTGCCCCTGTGCACTCAGGATTAATGCTACAAACGAGAATATATAACAAATTAATTGGAATGATGTGGATTTTAATGATTGCAGTACAAGTTGTGTCTAGTTTATTGCACCTTGATGGAGCCTTTACTACTACGCCTACCAGACAAGGAAAAAAGAAAGCAACAAATCTTTTTTTATTAAAGTATCAAAATGAAAAGAAGAAGGAATTATAAGAAATGACAAAGCATCACATTCTGATAAATGTAGTTTGACCAAGTTGCGTCAGCGCCGAGTCTCCTTTGCTTCCTACATTCAGTGACTCAACAAGGCCAGAAACCAGGCCCACGATACTGCTTACATAGACATCCTACAACAACTAACCTTTTGTAGAGCGCTGTAGTAGCGTAGTTTTGGTAGAGACCCTCTTATAACTCGGGTCCGTTCTACTTTGGGCGATCCATCTAACCACCGCCTTTTACGGACTATATTGTCAGCAGATAGGGCGTATTTGACTTGTCAGGCCAAGCAAAAGCGAAATCGGATCCCCGCATAAAACCGACCTGATGTTATATAATGACTCATTTTTTTTTGAATGAAGAATTATTTAAATCGATATCGCGTCCTAGTTTATGAACAGCGTCCCCCCGCATTCGTCATAATAGCTTCTCCAAAATTAATCCCTCGTCTGAGCGTTGGTTTCAAGGTTACTACGCTAATACGGAACAGACTCATCATCAGACAACTCGCTGCACAAAAAAGATGGCCTCTGCAAATCAGACCAATGTGTCCTCTCGAGAAAAGTATCTCGAGTTTGGTGGGGAATTAAAGAAGCTTTTCCCGCAAGCAGAGAGTTGGGTCAACTTGAACCATGGTGCGGACGCAACTTGGCGCAGACTGATGCTCAAAGCCGCGGCTAACCAGCTCACCGAATATAGGATCATATGGGACGATGCCACTCGAGATTAGGGAGAAATTCCGGGCATATCAGGATCTCTCGGAAGCGGCACCAGACAAATTTATTCGCTATGACCAGGGCATCCTCCTTGATGAATCTCGTCAAGCTGTGGCGGAGCTTGTTAATGCCCCCGCGGATACGGTGGTGTTTGTGACGAATGCTACCGAGGCTGTCAATACGGTATTTCGCAACATGAAGTGGAATGACGACGGAAAAGATGTCATCATCTTTTTTTCCACCATTTACCCGGCATGCGCAAAAATCGCAGACTACATGGTTGACTACTTTGGCACCGCGCGCGTCGGCATCCACGAAATTGCTCTACACTACCCGTTGGAGGACGAAGAAATCATTCAACAATTTCGCGATGCAGTGGCAGAGATTGAGAAGCAAGGAAAAAGAGCCAGGATCTGCACCTTTGATGTCGTGTCCTCGAACCCCGGCCTCGTATTCCCATGGGAAGAAATGTGCAAAGCGTGCAAGCAACTCGGCGTGCTGAGCATGGTGGACGGTGCGCAAGGGATCGGCATGGTGAAGCTGGATCTCGCCGCGGCGGACCCGGACTTCTTCACCTCCAACTGCCACAAGTGGCTGCACGTCCCCCGGGGCTGCGCCATCCTGTACTGCCCGCTGCGAAACCAGCATCTGGTCCCGACGACGCTGGCGACGAGCCACGGATACACGCCGCAAACGACCGTCCGGCGCGACGTGCTGCCGCCAAACACCAAGAACCAGTTTGTGAGGACCTTTGAGCTCATTGCGACAAAGGACCGGTCGCAGGAGATTGTGACCAAGGATGCGATTGCCTGGCGCCGAGACGTGTGCGGCGGCGAGGAGCGCATCATGGCCTACCTCTGGGACCTCAACAAGAGGGGCTGCAGGCGCGTGGCCGAGCAGCTCAAGACGTGGATGTTGGAGAATAAAAAAGGCACGTTGACTAATTGCGCCATGGGGAACATTGCGCTGCCCATTCGTTGGCAGGGGGAGACGAGCGCGGGTGGTAGTGGTGGTGGTGGTGGTGGTGGTGATGGTGGAAGTGCGCAAGAGGGCGATGTGGTGGTGCCCGAGGACGATGCTGCCCAAGTCCGGACATGGATGATGAAGACGATGAAGGACGAATACAACACTTTGATGCCATTGTTTGCAATGGGAGACAGAATGTGGGTTCGCATCAGCGCGCAAATCTACTTGGATATGAAGGACTACGACTATGGCGCCAAGGTACTCGGAGAATTGGTTGCGCGCGTTGCAAAAGGCGAGTACGAGAATTTAGAGCAAAATTGGCTGTAGATTTTTTTCC